CTTTCCTTCCATTTCGTCATCTTTTACTTCTATTTTTCATATTTTACTTTCGTCTGTTGTTTTATTTCATCTTTTGCTTCAAGAAAGCTTTTTCTTCTTTACTAAAGAGAATAAAAAAAGAGAAAAATTAAACAAGAAAAACGCCGACAGGAAAAAATAATGTGCGAAAAGAATATTTATTGTTTCATAGAGTGAAGGCGAGTGAAAGCGAAATTACGTATTGTAAAATTCATTTTATTTTATTTTTTGTAATAAGTCACGAAGTTTGTTGGGGAGGATGAGAGAAAAGCAACAAAAAGTTTATGAAAATTAATTCATTTCGACGACTCAATTGTCGCACTTTTCTGTCCTCGCTTTGTTTGCGTGAATCTCCTTCTGACAAAGATTCATCGCTGATATTACGAATGTCAACATTGCGAGCTGTAACAGCGCGAAACTGTGATGAAGTTATGAAAGTTTCCTTATGACTCCATATGTCAACATTAGACAAACGTTCATCATGAAGTAACGAGATCCAAAGAATACCCCTGCGAGTCATGAGAATCATAAATTTCCTTAAATAACGCCGACAGCTTCTCTTTACAACAAATATTGATGCATTAAGCATACGCTAAGAATGAAATGTGAAGCGGCACTGCTTTATATTTACTTCCTTGAGAGTGCTTAGCATATAAATTACGTAATTTATTTAAAAGATGGAGTTTATGTTCATTCGATATCTTCAATTACGAACCGACATATTAAAGCTGGAAGTAAATCTGTCGGTTGGTTGAATAAGAATGTTTCCCCATTTTCATATCGGAAAAGAAAAGTTGATTGAGTTTCTCCCTTTCTCAAGAAGAAACCCTTTTTATGAGAACGTACTCGACCTTCTGACCAGCAAAAAAAAGAAGAAAAACTTGCCCGAAGAAATTCCATTTTGAGGCTTTTAGGGAGAGAAGATATTATTCATCCATAACGTGCGGAGCAAACTTTTCCATTTCTCGAAGAGAAATCAATTTTTCATAGCATTTACTGGAAGAGTTTTGTCCGGAAACAATTACTGAGGAGCTTCCTTAAGCTATCCGATATTGATGAACAAGTAACCATCGGCGCTAACACAGATTTCATGATGCTGAATATTTATGCTGATAACAATCATGTCAATTAAAACTTTTTTATTCCTTATCAAGCACTGCATTCTAATTATGTACGAAGATGGGAATATTAATTGCTTCCTCAGAATGGAAAAGCTTTTCAAATGTTATGTTACATCATTTAAGGATGATTCAAGTGATAGAGATTCCACTTGATAAATGACTTAGACCATATAGATAAATAGTCTTGCGTAACATTTGTGTGAACTTTGTTTTCAACTTTACACAGATGTGACTTAATTTATGGACAAAGCTAGTTTTTTTTCGATTTACATCTTGCAACGTTCCCAACAAGTTACAACAATTTCTTGTGCATCTGACACGATATCGTAATATAATTGTTTGCTGTAATTATAAAGCTGCTTTTAATCTGTGAACTCTTCCATTAAAAATGCGCTTCTTGTGCTTTCAGTTTTCATTTTTCCTCTCCAAAAGAGTTTTTGAACATTGCAGATCAGAGGGGAAAAAAGTAAAAGTAATCTCAGCAAAGGGAAACTCACCATAATGAAAACTGTGAGATAACTAAGCTTTGCCATCTCTTCTTCTTCCTTCCTTTTGTTGTTTTTATTTTAAAGTTTAAGTTTTTTCCTTAACTTCAAGGTTTCTATTTTTGCAAAATTTATTTTTCCGACACTGTTCACTTCAATTATTAATTGTCATTTTTCATTTTCAGAAGTAGAATGTATGTCTAAGATGAAAGGATTTTCTTTGATAACAATGAATTCACAATTTTTGTTTAAGTAGCAAAATATTTTTCAAGCTTGAACAAATCTTTTGGGAACATTTATGAATTGAATTGCAATATGACATCAAAGAACGACTGTTTGATATAATTTTCTGTTCTCATAACTTTCCAAACAATTTTCCAATGCAACAATCTGTGAAGTTCTGACAGAAACTTCAACTTAACGAGATAAAAAAAAATTGCTTTCATATTGAAAAGCTTTAAAAATATAACTTTAATCTTTTATAAATATGCTGAAACGTTCGTTTTGAATTTTACGTCTTATGTTTCAAGGCACAAGGCGTATTTTGTATTTTCAATCTATGTACTTTACATATCTACCAATATTAACGATAGAATCGATTTTTCTTCACAACATTTTGATTGAGAATACAAATAGAAACAAGATTGAAAAAGTTTTCCAGCTTTTAAAATGCTTCCGAAAGTTGTAAACTAGAAGCGAAGTGTTGTTGATTAACTAAACTTTCTCCTGTGACAAAATTTCTCGGTTTTTTCTTTCTCTCTTTGTTTAAAGGGATTCGACTAAAGATGTTTCAATTGATTTTCCATGCAAACATTAATGGCGATATGTGAAGTGATGAAAGTTATAAATATTTAATTATCGTCACTATTCTTGCAACAAGCATTCAGTGAGATGACTTTAATAGAAAAGATGATGATACTGATGATGATGAGAGAAGAATCAAGTTCTATATAAAGTGAAAAGCTTCTTTTACAAGTGTTTATGAGAAAGTTGGATAGATATTGAACGTGCGACACTTTATTCACGTTCGAAAAAGCTGAAACCATAATAACACGACGTGAAACTTTATTATTCGTTGAATGAAGTTAAACTTTTGCTTTGTGGTGAACATAGCGGCAGCATTTAATTTCCACATTATAGAAAAGCTTTCAATCTCGGAAGTTTACTCTTCGTCTTTATTTCTTTTTTTTATTTGTTCACTTTCCTTGACAAAGCATAAAGTTCAACCATCAAGAAATAAAGCAAATTACATGGGCGGCAACGCTTTTAAAAATAAAGGAAGTTGACATAAAACTGTTTCAGACATTTTCAATTATAAAATTAAATGCTTCGCTCGAGTTATGTTTAAATTAGAAATTCAGCACCGAAATTTACTTTTGCCTTCGCTATTCCGCAGAACGCTATAAAAAAAGAATTCCTTTGGGAGGTTAAGCACGTCTTGGGATATACGAAGGCTCAAGCATCCGCAATATTCATAATTTAATGAAAAGTTGATTTTACTGAATACTTTAGCAATAAACGGAAATGTTTCTAGAGTGACAAATGCGATAAATGAGCGGTGGGAATAAGTTTGTGGCTTGGTTTTTTTTCCTCCAGCTAAGAGTGGATTTGGTGCTGAATTAAGTGAATGATTTATTATCACACCACCAAGAGACATTTTTCATACTTTGTCTCCTTTCTTTATCCATCGGCTATTCTTCATAATCTTCTTCATTATTTTCGTCTTCACCTTTTACAAAATACTCTCTCCTGACCTGAATACTCGACATATTCACTTGGCAAGAAATATTGCACAGGTGCTTGAAACTTTTCCACATGAATGCTACACTAATAACCATAATCTTAATTCAATAACACTCGCAAGATTCTCAACATAAATCATAGACAATGGCATCCTCATTATATGCAAGCTCATGTGTGATGAGTAAAGTTTCATCCCAAAAGGGAGGAATTTTTTCATATCATACGAGGATTTTCTTGATTCATGCTTTCTTTTTTATCTCGCATTCTGTCACTTGCCATACGTTGAATCTCGTTGAATCTCGTTGAATCAAAAGGAAAATCTCTTCGTATTAAGCATCAATTCATGAAAACGTAACGTCTTAATCTTCAGACAAAAAAAGCTTTTTAGATGTCATTAAAGTATCTTCGCCAGTAGTTTTCGGAATCAATTTAGACGCTCGTAAAACGAAGACTCAATAAGCTCTGATAATATTATTATTAAGAAGAAGTGGAATAAAAATTTGTTTTCACAAGATTGTCTATCTTGATATAAATTTAATTTGATATTAAAACGTTAGAAGAAAGCGAAGGAATAAAAAACTTAATATTTATGAGATAATAGAAGAATAAAAAGTGAAGACGCCACTTCTTCCTCGATAAGACGAGCTAGAGTTCATTAAAATTTATTTAGCAAAACAAAGGTGTGGTGCGATTTTTGCAGAATACTTTAGGAAAAAACGATTTCAATGTTTGTTGTTAATCTTAATTCTTAATAGCTTTAAGAGTATCTTTTGTCGTTAATGGAATTTTCTCAATGGTTTCTATTGGTTAAGCAATTAGTTGAATATTTTAGAAGCTCAGCTCTCAACAAGATTAAAACTCAATCAACTATTTAATTCAATCGCCGTCACTGAAAAATTCAGTGAAAAAACATTTCAATTTTCAAAGACGAGAAGGAATTTCATCGTCCCAGATTTATCTAACAAAGTCCATAAATTTGAATTTAATTCATGAATTGTCTAGGAATTTTTTTTGCGAAGTGAATATTTTCAACTTTGTTTTGATAGAACAGGTTGCGATGTTTTGACAAAAACAGAAATTTCTGTTTTAAAGAGCTCAACTCAACGTTGAAGAATTTATTCGAATTGAGTGATGCTCCAAGAAAAACATTTGCTTTTCGTAAGCATCATCTAAGCAAGTCTAAGCAGAAATCATTTTGATTTTTCTCAGAAGCACTTAATGACACTTTGATGAGGTTTCATACGCCAAAACATATTTAATCATAAGCAATCTTATTTCACAGAATTATTCCATGTCATGAAAACATCCGAAAAATGTGTGTGAATTGTTTTCGTTAATGTCTAAAACACGTGTCGATAATGTAAGGAAAAAAAGCACAAGTTGTTGAAATTAATGAAATGTTCTTTTGTCAAAACGGATATAAATGAAAGCAAGAGGAAATGAAAAATTGTTTCCACAATGGAAAGCGTAATAAAATCACTTTTATACATCTCTTGTCAAAAGCGAAGGTGCCCAAACTTTTGTAAGTGGCAAAATACATGAAAGAAATAAGAGAAAAAATGTCGAAAATGTTTCCGCTCGCTATTCAATCTCATTGATGTTTCGTCTTTCATTTCAGTTGATGATTTGTATACACAAAAAGTTCTCTTAGATTTCGTACTTCATTATTCATATTGATGTATGATAAGCAAATGTAAAGACGCACACGTTTATGGCATGTAAACACTCACGATGTGTACAATCTTTTTGCATGTTTTGTTCTCGCAGTCGATGAAAAACGGTGACTTGTGAAGCTTACAAATTTTTCTTTTGTAATTTTCATTCAAGGAAATTTTTTCTCACATTAATGCTTGGTGTTTATCAATGTATATGAACCGAAAAATTAGCTATTTAATGTGATGATTTCTTTATTTTTTTATCTTAATTTCATGTTTCATATCACACGCATGAACATTTTCACTCTCTTCAATTTCATTCCTCTCATTTTCGCGTGTTATTCGAATGATATACGATCTTTTAATTTGTTTTTTTTTATGATGCTGTTTCAGCAGTGAACATTTATCACTCAGTCCATAGTTTTGTGATGAATGAACTCCAATATGAATGTCAGAAATGCGTAAAGGAGAAGAAACGAGTGAGTTATTTCTCTTATTGTTTGGCTTCGATCCAAATAAAAATGTGACTGTTAATAACAATTTTATGCGATCATGTGACATTATTATTACCCACTGAATAATTACTAAGCGTTAAAGCTTTCTTTTCACCCACGTTTGAATGGAATTCCATAAAAAGCTTTCAGATAATTGAATTTACGATGCAAAGCTTCTTCCTTCAGGCTTAACCCGAGCAGCACAAAAGGCGATGTCTCTCACAAATCTGGCATACGAGTATCGTCTCCATTTAAATGGGAAGGCTTTCCTTTAGAATCCGCCATATGAAAGACATTTGGCTAAAAACTACTGGCTATCGCCTAATTCTATCACCTTAAGTTAGTTATGTGTTGGACTAGTGAAGAATTTCTTAAGCTGCCTAATGGTAGCCTTATTTAGAGTTAATGGCATGTGGGGAAGCACCATAGCGTCAACTGTTAGTGGTAAATTGATACTTCGGTGATTTTCGCTGATTTCTGAAGGAAAAGCCAAAGGAAGTGCCAACTAAAAATCGTCGTAGTGCAAACGTATGACTCCGGCACGGCGAGTGTGTGCCGCTCGGGTAATAGCGCAAACAAACATTTTGGTCTTCATTTCTTCAAATGATAAGCAGAAGTGGGAAGCAGAAAAGATAAAAATGATGAAAAATAAAATGACAGAAAAAGAGAGAATCAAATAAGTTTGATGTCAACAACATTGCAAATATTCTGACAATACACGTGAATTTATGGAGAGCTTTAGATTGCTTCCGTGAATACCTATAATGGATTCATCCAATAATGATGTTGAAAAGTTTATTCAAGTTGCTTCATGTACCGTTCAACAACCATAGACGACGATTAAAATCGATAGATGAATATGAATCATAACTCTTCCGTTCTATTTGAGAGATTCCATCCATTCATTTATGTTGTGGAAAGGCAGGAAAGGCAAGAGAGAATATTTAGTAAAAATCTATGAAGCATTTATTTGCATAAAAACAATCATATGCGGTAGTTGGTTCTAGCAATCTAAAACTCAGACATATAAGTTTGTGTGTTTGCGATATTAGTCTGAGGTGAAGAGCGAACACGTATGCCAATGAGTAATGTTTATTTGTCGAATTTTGCGCTTCTATTGAGTAAATAGTGTGGATAAGGTAGGATTCGAGCCGAAAGGAAAGAATTCAATAAAATTATTTTTATGTTTGAAATTGGCTTCGGTCTCGAAGAGAAATTTATTTGATTCCGGGTAATAAAATTCAATGTGTGCACGTTTGGTTTTTTGGCTGCTACTAAAAACGTTAAGTAAGTAAAAATATTGAAGGTTGGTGGAGATGAGAAGAAATTTTTGTGTTTACTCCAAAGAACTAAATTGAAAAATATGTTAATTCACTCGAATTTATAATCAAGATTCATTATTCCGTTTCCAATTTATTTATTACAATTAATGAATTGAAATTACGCAATATTCATATTCAGATACTTTATGGTTCTATGTTAATTTGAAATCAGTTAATAATTTATTATGTGAACTGATCATTTTAAATCTGTTGTTAAATTTGAACATGAAACTCAATTTTCCTTCCTGTTCATTTATAAATTGGCCACAGTCCGATTATTCACTGTTACAGGAATTTTCGCAATTATTTTTGATAAATCATCTAAAATTCGAAACAATTCATTTGCATTTTCATTTCATTAGCTTTCATTATTTCAATTTTATTTGTGTTTTTAGGAAGTTTTCAATAAAATTTGCTAAGTTTTCTGGTTTGTTTAATTTCAATGTTTTCATTTTAGAGAATTTCCATTTCTTTTAGATATTTTAAAATGGTTTAAATAATGCTAATGCTTGGAAACATATTTAAACGAGCTTTTCAAGGTTTTTTCTTCTTCTTCTCTCCTCGCAGTTTGGGATTCGAAATAGAAAATTAAAAACAAACCAAATAAACATGTCGTTTCAGACCTTCTTTCAGATGTAACTGCTTTTATAAATGGATTCAGGATTCATAATTCAGCGGAAAAAGAAGCTTTTTATTGCAAAGAATTATGCTACAACTTCCATTAACTTCTTCCTTTTCTTGTTCCTTGTTCACATGTTGTGTTCTTCTGTGCTTTCTTTAATTTGTTTTCGAAAGCAAAAGTTTTCAGATTTTCAACAAAAGTGTACCAAACAATCTACAAGCATAATACAAAAAGGGAAAAATGTTTAGTTATACAACGGTAAAGCATCGTTTTCTTTTTTTGTTCATGAACGACTTGAAAGCTTTCAATCAGAACATCTTTCACTGTCGTATTTATTTTCAAAAGCTTTTAGTTGATGGACATAAATCAATCCCTTCATTTGTGCTTTTCAAATCAAATTGAATTTCATGTTTTGAGAATTGAAGTACTTTACAATATCTAAATAGGAAAAAGGGATTTTCTACAAAAAGGGTTGCAAAATGTTGTGACAAAATTCCAAGATAATCCATTTCAATTGTGAAAGCCGAGATTACTTTCTAATTAAGAATAAAATATATTAACAAGCGTTTTAAGCTTGGCATGTTTATCGTGGCTTCCATTCATACTTATAAACTCTTCTTAAGAGTTCTTGTTGATTCAGTGTAATTATTTATAATCATTATGAAGATAACGTAAGTAGATAACCGAAAACCTGAGGTGAACAAACCTCCATGACAACAACATGTGGATGAGAAACTTTCAAGCCAAGCACGTTTAGGCTGAACATACAAAAGTTTGTATGACTTTAAAATTTATGGTATTTCAATCATTTCAATCATTCATTCATACAAGTTAAAAAGGTTTAAACTCGCAAAGCCACGGGATTAGGAAAGAATTTATTATTGTGATGCTAATGGTGTGTAAATGTAAATGAAAGAATTCTCGACCCAAAGAAACGATCGAGTTATTTATCAAAATTAGCAAAGAACCAGGCAGAAACCTTGCCGAGTGATGGATTTCACTATGTTCATAGCAGCATTCAACGAGAAAAATTGCACATTAGTTCCCGTCTTTGAGCTGAATAGAATTAAACGCGATGTTTATTAGATTTGAAATCAATAACCAGCCAAGTGTTTGCTTCGCTTTTCTTCATCATCTCATTGTCTGTCAATGTGATTTTGGTGATTGAAAAGAAACCTATTCAATTCATCACGATTCAGAGACTTTGAATCTTCTTTTCTTCAGTTGTCTGCGTCTATCTGTTGATCAGCAAATCCTAGAGAGCTGTTCGCTCTTTCTGTTTTCCAGAATGAAGCACCGCGAAGTGTGTAAGTGGTGTGAGAGAATATTAAAGCAACCACATTCAACATCTTAACAAACTTCTTCAGACTGTTTGATGTTCTTCATTTTCTCTTACTTAGACACAATTTCATATCTTTTGCTTCCGAATTTTATTCTTTTTCTTTTCCGTGCCTTCTTCAAAGTTTACTTTTCTTGAACGAAGCAAACGATGATGATAAAAAAATAATCTTTCTTAATTCTCATAACTGAATTATTCATGAAAAAATTTAATGAAGAAATAAAAATATAAGAGAAACTATCTTTGGGAAAAGTGAGAAATTTACATTAAATACTTTAAATTGAAGTATTATGAAACTTTATCATTATCATCATGAAAAATGTTGGAAGATAGAAAATGGAAAATGCAATGAATTTACATGCAATTTGAAGTGTTGTGCTTTCCGGAAGCATAAGAAAAGTGTGATGCTAGCATAAATGTATGCAAATTTCATTCAATGCCGCAAGAGATAAACACATGAAAGTTTTATAACAAATGAAGGAAACACTTAGATTCAGAAGTGAACATGCTTGCCTCGAGATTTAAATTTCACTAAAATGAAACCCTTTTCTCTTTTATCTTAGCTTCATTCTTTTATTTCAAATGCAAACAAAAAAATTCCTACCTCAAGCACACGAAGGTGCATGTTTTGAGGGCAGATTTTTCATCCTACGTTTCTCTCTTCAAAATCATTTAATTTTCATCTTTTTTCCAGCTCTTCTTTCAACAATGAAAAATGAAATGAAAAATGTTCACAATTCTGGTATCTAAAAGGATGATAACATTTGCTTTCTTTTTTCTAAGCATTATCAAATGTCTTTTATTTATTCTTCTCTTTGCTTTCTTTTATGCAGCATAATTTCAACTTTAATGTTTCCATTTGTGACATTTTTTGTGGAAATAAATCATCCCAACTACCATTACTAATTTCTCTGTCGGATTTTCTATTTCCTTTATGAAGAAATGCTTTGTTTAACTTGTGAATTGTACAATTCAATAATCTACCATAACACGAGTTATGATCACATTAAATATGATAAGTAATATCATCTCTCAATTCTTTTGGAACAGCTTGCTCGAATCGTAACGACTTATCGATGAATGCTGCTAAATTAACTATTGAATCACGTATGGAAGGAGCAATGTAACATCCTTAACATATCGTTGTGATGAAAAATATTTGGAAAATCTCTTAGAAAAGCAGTAGGCGAAATGTCAGTTCGTGTGTATTCATGTTTATGTAAATATACATGCAAAAACCATTATGTTCTCTGATTTCTCAGATAAATATATGACCTTCTCTATTTGATCTTTGAATTATTTGGAATTACCATGTGATATACATACATACGCATAAACAGCATATAAACATACATCGAGAAGAATTGGGAGTGAAAATAAATTATGACAAGTTTGCGAACCCATGTTAGTCGTTCTTGCTACTGTTTAGTGCTTATGTTTGTGAATGTTATTTATGAAGGACTTTTGTTTACATTATTCAGAAAGGTTTCACTTTCTCGTTGAGTTGATGGCAGACGCAGCATCAGATAATAAATATGTACAGAAGCACGCATAATTTTCAAGTTAAGCTTTTCCGCTTTGACTTTGTTGTGATTTTTCCCTTTCCAATTTTTCTTCTTTTGTAACCTGCTCTTCTTCATTCGTTTATTTTATTTGTAGATATGTATGTACATATGAATTTCAGCATTGTTAAACAATATGAAGAGAATAAATAACAATAATTTTTAGAGATAAACCTTCACAAAAGGTATGTAAATATATCGTGAAGCAAGATGAGCACACACTATTGCGTGAGTGAGAGCCCATGGGCTGAGAGAAACCGAAACAACATGAAATGCTTCATTTGCTTTTTATCAGTTCATTTCTATTGTTGAAGCGAATATCTGAAAGCTTTTTATCTCAGTTTCCCTTATGTTCGTGTTTAAGAGAACAGAAATTGTTAATTAACCTTTTGTAAGCATCACATCTCCTAAAAACTTATCTTACTCAAACTATTTCAGAAGCTCTCAAACTTTAGAACTCTTGTCAAAAAAGCATAAACTAAAAGTTCAATAAAGAATGTTTCAGAAGCTTTTAAACTTCTTTATTAATATTTTTATTTCCATTTTCCTTCCTTCATGAGGATACCTCTATCTACACGTAAAATCTGAAAGTTATTTTGTATCTTCATAACATCAAAAATTCCATTAAAAAATATTTTTCGTTGAGCTTCTGGCTCCTAGTTTTGCGGTCGAAAAGAGAAACAAAAAAATATTTTTTGCTTTAAATTAAAATTTACGAGAATGTGAAAGGGAAGATAATGTAAATTTTTCTCTTAATAATATTGTGTAGAGATTTTATGTGACTGTCGCTTTGGGGGTGGATTCGTTGATGATGTTATTAAGGAAAGTTTAAATTGTTTGAGATTGCTTGATACAAAAACCTTTTCTTATTTCAATTTTCAGACCATTTAACTTGATGTCATTTATCTTTCAATTCAAATGAATGAGTTTTAAACAGGAATAAAAGTTTAAACGAAGCAAGTCATAAAGTTAGAAAATTTATGTAAAAATAATTTTCGAGGATTATTTTTATTGTTTATTGACTCATCATGCGTTGTGTTCATTAATCCTGAATAAAGATTTTGCACTTAAAACGTCTGTTGCTTATCAACATATCTATCAGTATTATTATTTATGGATTTTCATTAGCGCCAAGCTTTTAACATCAATGAAAATGCAAATTGACGGCTGCCGTTTATCACAATTAAAAAGATTTTTTCTTTAATTTCTTTGCTCTCTTTTCAGAATATTTCCGTAATAAAAATGTTTGAGATAAGAAATTACGCAAAAAAATCCACTAAATAAAAGCTTCACAGCATACTTTCACTTAATATCAATACTTCAGTTAAATATTAACACTTGAATTTTTTAACATAATTTCCGTTTCACACTTCAGTCCGAATTTTCTTATTTTTTTGCGAAATATTTTTCTCACGCTCTTCGAACCAAATCAGACGAAGAAGGAAACTCATCCGATGTGCTCGAATCTCACTATCCAACTGAGACAACATACATTATCATGTAGCTTTTACGTGAACTGATGAAAATATACTATGGTTGGAGTTCGGGAGAAAAAAGAAAAAAAAATGTGCGCCGAGTTTATTTTCGGGTAGCGAAAGAAGGAAGGAACGAGAAAAACATTTTAAATTCGCCTCATCATTTCAGAGTTTATTCTTTTCTTATATATTTATTTTATTTTATTTTTTGCTTATAACAGCAGCAGACGGAAGATGACAAATATCTGCTGAACGATGTTCGCATATCAAGTACAATAAATTTCTCTTGAATCTAATGTCTCTATTGAATTGATTGTGGATGATGATGCATCAATTAGACAACAAGAGGTGTAGGTTAGGCACTCGAAATATTATATTATCATCTTAAAGGACACTTCTCCAAATGGTCTTTTTATGGATCTCAACAATCGATTTAATTCTCATAAAAATGAATGTAAATACTTTTCGCAAATCTCTTTCGTTGTCATTTATAAGCATAAGTTGTATGTCAATGGGAAAAATGGCTATAAAGTCTCGCCATGCTTCTCTCCATAACGGGAATAACAATTGAGGGTGGTGAAATGAGAAAGAACTTTATTGACATTTCTAAAGCCGCAACAACAAAACTAACTTAATTTTCATTCAGATTTCAATTCAAGATGATTTTATGGCGAATGAATTTCAAAATAAAAAGCAATTTCAATTTACAACATTGAATACTAATTATTAGTTTTGATATTTGTAAAGCGTATTGAAGTTTGCTTATCGAGAGACATAAAAGAGCTCTTGATTTACATATCACTTTAATGCCCGGGTAATAAAATCTTAAGTAAAATTTTCCGTTCAATAATTTGCATAATCTTTTTATGGTTCACTCTTGCTCATTCTCTCTCACTCACTCATACAGTCCGACAACTTCAATCTTCATTGTTTTACTAAATATTTACAAAAAAATCATCACTAATTTGATAAAGATTTACATAATAACATCGTAAAGATTACGATTCTATTCCATATTGAAACAACAAGAAACATCTCAGTTGAATGAGGCCCACAATTTGAACACGAGAGTGCAATAAGTAATTGTTTTATCTAGCACAACACAAATATTTATTTTCACAATAATGTGGCTTTAAAATATTAATAAATATTTGCTTTCGTGTTCGATGCCAGATGCCCACTTCTTGGTTAATTTAGATTTCTGAACATTGCATAAAATAGTTTGAAAAGTGATGACGTCATAAAAGTTAAATTTTCATTCATTTACAAAACAGAAAGAATTCTTTTCCGTATCTTGTGCAATGAAAATCGAAAGTGCTTTTATTGGAGATGAAAATATTGTTTATTCATTTGTAAAATCATCCTCTCGAGTCTACACATATTTAATGTTGTTCACACAAGCGGTATTGACAACAAATGAAACTTCGACGTTGTACATATCTAATTAATAACTATCAATTACAGAACCGTAGCAAAAAAACACAGCATTTTGTTTTTTGTGCTTACGATTTATTTGCTTCGATGATTTAATCAGTAAAAACACAACAAAAAAAAAGAGATGAAAACCAACCATGTGCGATATGTGCTAATGAGAATGTCGGTGGGGCAGAAGAAAGAAAGAAAAAGAAGAATGGGAAAAAATAACGAAAGAGAGAGAAGAAATTGATATGCCTAACAAATGGTTTCATCAGCCGATGTCGCTGGTTTTTAGCTTTTAAAATACGAGGGTCAAGTTGTAAGATCAAATAGATGATTTAATAAAATTTTATGGCAAAAATTGCTGATTCCGATATCAATCACTTAAAATCTAATGATTCGAAACAATGTGCCATTAAATTAAATCCGTTGAACTATTGAATTTGTGATTCACAATTGTTGTTGTTGATGTTGTGTGTGGAGAGGGCGACTCAATGAAAGCGACAACGATACTCATTGAATACAAAACATGTTTTTATTTGATTTTGTATTTTTTTTTCTATTTTTTTTTTGGAGGAATAGAAAGAGAATTTTAAACATCAGGAGAACGAGATTCGTGTTCTGGCTTCGGGTTTCGTCTTGATACAAACTATGATAGCTATGATATTTTCCATCTCTTTCTATGTCAGGTTTCTTTAATACGCAAACTCGGTGTCTGGCAATAAAATTCAACAGAGAACACGTTGATGAACGTCAGAGAATTTCTAACTGCTTTTAGATTTGAGAATTGAATGCAGTTATCAAAAGATTTCTTATTCAGAAAAGATGATTAATAGAGAAATATTTGTAAATAATTTCAACGCATTCTTTCTTAAAGATGCTTGTAAATAAAGAAAATATTTTTATAATATTTCATAATTGTAGATTCATATGTGCGAGATGATAAAGCATTCATTCGTTCATACTGTTCTAATCTTAATTAAACCAGAAGTGATTAATGAAATTTTTTCGCAATAAAATTCTATTTTCATTGAATCATCATCATCACCACGAAATGATAACAGTTTGTGTTGCTAAATTATTATTAATAAAAACATCTTGATGAATATCGCAACGGGAGAGTTTTGCTTTCATCAGGATTCAGAAAATGGAAATAACAAAGAGAATAAAAAAGTTTTTAATGGAAGTATAAATGCATGTTACAGCAAATGCATTCACAATAAAACTGAAGCCGAAAACGGAAAAGACGGAGGAACAACAAGAACTGAGTGATGATGAAAATGAATTTAGAAATGAAATGCAGATTTCTGTGATTCATGTTGTGAAGAAAATTTATTCATTTATGTTCATATAGCAGAAGAACGACATTTTTAGCACTCAGTTGAAGCATAATTTAATTAAACTCATGTCAAATTGTGCACAATTGATTCTCAATGGTTCCGACTGACACACATTTGCCGGGTTAAGTCTTTTAAGTGCACGTCGCATGTTGCTTTAACATTAAGCGATTCAACAAGTTGTTGATGCTTTGAAATTATCATTCATCACTTTTCTGTTTTTGTTTTCCAAAATGAGTGTGAATAATTTGAGTAAAATCAGCCATTCAGTCATTAAACGAGGCGAGACGCTACTCTGATAATGATTAATGTTACTCACATCACCGACGATGTTCCGTTGAGTTCATTTTAAGAACCTTCATGTGTTTCACTTAGCAAGTGAAGAATTATTGTGAATTTCAACAGTTCAACACCATGTTGCATGTCAGATTCACATTAAAATCTCATTTTCCATCAACTTATCTACTTAAAAAATTGTTGCAAGAAAATTTTCTTTGTGCAATTTTTTTCTGATTCGATTATTCAACGAACACATCACAAATGATAGTTTTTCATTAAAATTCTTCTTTACAAATAATTCCATTAGATTGTAACTAATCGCGTCTCGTTTCCCTTTTTGAAATCTTTTACATTCTTCGTCTCTTAATTAAACGAAAAAACAATCGCAGTTTGAATTAAATGAAGACCGGAAGAAACAAATTTATCAAGATAAAATGCCATTTAATCAACGATAGACAATCCTTGTAAAAAGTCTTTCGTAATTAAATTGTTAAGAAATTTAAGACTAATCAATTTAGCGTCAAGTTTAAGAAGACAAAGGGGCGCTTTCATTGTTCTTAATATCAGCAATCCACCTCTTAAGTTTCCTTTGAAGAGGGTTAATTATCCATGATTTCAAACTCTAACATCACTCAACAATCTTTCAAATCTTTTCAGCTGTAATTAAATTTAATTGTATTATTAAACTAATTTAATTGTAAGCTGATATTATAATTAAAGCTTGTAGTCTTTGTTATTTAAATTTCAAAACTATTTAAATCCTGATCTCTCGACATTCTCTCGCTTTCAAATGTTAATTAAAAATCAGATATCAATTCATCGTTTAGCATTATCATCGGCGAAAATGAAAATTCTTTTAAAGTGTTACAAGGAACATTAATTGCGAAAGTTTTATTCTTACCTTGCATTTTCCTTCTACACAAACGCTTCGTTCATAAGCAACATTACTTTTCGGTGGATTATGAACTTTGGAGCAGTTAGTTCCATCGATTGCGTATTCTCTCAACCTTGCAAAATACTTTTGGTTCACAGGACGACAGTTCAACTCACATTCAGCATCGTCTACGGGGGGATTCGCGAATGAAATTCTAATTTAAAACTCAAAATGAAAAGCTTATTTATTACCTTTGATATACGGTTCCCACTTATACGTTTGCCCTCGGAATGACTGATTATCAAACTCACTACATTGCTGCGCTCGAAAATCCCCATCTGGATGTGGACATTTCTGATTGACGCATGCAGAAAACAGACGAAATGTGAGAAAGAAAAAGCCAAAGAAGTGAGATTTATGCGACAATTCTTCGTTGCTAACATAATCAGAATTTACATTAATTAATCAAACTCACCAATTCGTTACAGATGCGGAATCGTTTGTAAAATCCAATACATTCGTTAAGTGTGATTATTGTTATGTTGATTCTTTTCCCATTTTTGTACCTATGGGAATGGAATTTATTTTAGTTTTGAGAGTTTTTATTTCGGAATTTATTGAATGACTATTGAATGTCCAAAGTTTATGCGGACAACATTAAATATCGAGAGTTGTTTTGAGAAATGTACTTGAGGTGGGAAAGAGTTGTCGATGATGTCACGAATTTTCTTTTCTTTCTACTTTTCAAATATTTTTCATACAAAACTTTTATTAGAAAAGATTTTATGTGACTTCATTTACAAATAAACCCCACCAAGTAGAATCAATGGAATAAAAAGAAAAGGAAAACTTTATTAATCTGTAATTATGTTGGAATGAAAATATCTCTTCTCAGTCTACTCAAGATTTAATATTAAAGATTTCTTAACACTGTTTTGTGTTTTGATGCGTCTTCGATATTGCCCCCAAGAGGCTCTTGAGATTGTAAAGATGAGCAATAAGACTGAAATAAGAGCATCACTGTCTTGTTTAAATCTTCATTTAGTTCCACCCTTGTTATGATTTGACGCTCTTCATGACTTTAATCTCTCTTAATGCCTATTTGTCATCGGTAATGTAGTTTAATATCAGAGCTCAATGGAAACATAAGAAGCACATTTTAAATTATTTATTTATCTTCTACTCATTCACCTTCTGTTAAGTATTATTCTCATTTTATTTCATCTCATTTCATTTCGCTTCGTTTGATAAAGAAAAAGGTTTTTTTTCTCTCACAAATTGAATCGAGTGGTAGACGAGAAATAAAGAATATTTTGATATGTTAGGAGAGTTTTCATGATTAGTCTACCATGTGTAGAGCATCGCAATTGATGATGTCATTAATAGGAGCGGGCGGCAACGACGATGAGATTGTTATAAAGCAATAAGAAAAATTAATTTGAGTAAATCTTAATTCTCAAATTCCGCCCTCGACATAGAATTTCATCTTCATGAAAATGAAAACTAATTTTAAAAGAAATATTTAGAAAATGATAAATTATGAATTTTGAGAGAGGAATTAATTGATTATGACAAGCGGAAAATTTATCTCTTTACAAATTGAATGTGCTTTGGTCATGATGTTATGCAAAAATGTTGACTTTTCTCTTTCTCATCTAAATCCAAATCCCTCCACAAACAAACAAAAATGCACTCCGCGCAATTGATTTGAATTTTATGATATCACAAACAACAATCGACACAACTTACAATTGAACAATGATTTACAATCAATTGATTTTTTTTTCAATTCTCTAATGTTTCTTGGGCATGTACGAGTTAACTTTTTTGTGGTCTGGTTATTTCTGAATGGCTTAAAAAAGTATTTAAACACATAGACAAATTCCATTTAATTTTCATGTAATTGAATTTCATTTTTCCGCTTTTATTTGAATCATTAAATGATGACAAACTTATTTTTATTTTTTGTTATCTATTTCGACTATTCATTGTGTGTAAATGCTATAAATTCTAATTTGCATATGATTGTTAACTCTTTTTCGTGAGATGATGACAGTTTTAAGGGCAAGCGAAAAAATTGAATTTGATCTGTTAAGTATTCGAGTTGATTCAACTTTTTGAGTTCATCGCATTATGAATGGAATAACAAGCGTAAGAGTAGAAGCTAAGTTAATGAGAAGAAGGTTGGCTACGACAATTTAAAGTAGGATTGTTTATAGCTTATGTTTGACTTTCTTCATCATCATGAGAAGAAAAATGAGAATTTGTGATACAATTTACGAATCTTTTCTTACTTCGTTTCATTTCATTTCTTATCATTCTTCAGTTATTTACATTACTTAAAGGTACTCATGTTACAACTTCTCCTTCTTCTCATCATCATTCCAAAGACTTCCACTTAAGTAACGAATGATAAGAACAAGTTCAAGAAATTAGATCAACTCACATCTTCTCCATGCATTCTCTTGATTGTGACATGACTCCATCACCGCATGAACGACTGCAGCTACTCCACGAGCTCCACTTTCCCCATGATTTCTTGATCGTTATATTATTCGATTTGTATTTGATGTGCTCTGATATGAATCTTTGTATTTCAAAATCATTTGAACTTTTCTCGCTTGAATTGTTGTTCGCAATAGCACTTATCTCGCCGTTGTTCCTAGAATTTATCGACGTTACGAAAGTTTTTCGATTGCTTTGTGTATTGCCTTTCATGTCAACATCAACAGTGCTCTTGCCAATATGTTCTTTTGATGAGACCTCCATCTGATTTCCAGTCGTCGTATTGTTTGAAGTATCAAACTCGTTCGCTTGTTGTTTATTGTTCGTTTTAACGACATTTGTACTCGTCGAATCTGGCGTTGATTGCTCGACGACTTCATTAGATGTCTTTGTTATGTTTGTTTTGTTATTGGCTTCCAAAACTCCCGAATTGGAAGCATTATTGCCTGCGAAATCCATGTCTTCATTGTTGTTAATTGTATCATAAGCAAATTTATTTCCGCCTTCAACTATAACTGTTGTCATTTTAACATCATTGTTTGACATCACTTGTCCATTTGATCGATCACTCACATCTTTCTCGTCAATTAAACGAGGTATGAAAGAAATCTCATTGACACTTCTGTCATTTTGATTCCTGAACTTTATCAGTTTCTTGAAATATTTGATTTTCTGATATGGATCGCTTGATTCGACATAACCAGCTGATAATTTCTCAGCTCTTCGTTTCTGTAGCCATTCTCTATGTTTCTATAGCAGAAAAATATGAAACATTAATGTATCTACATCAATAAAGTGTTGCGTAGTCACAATCATAAATCACTTTTTAAATTAATTAATCTACTCGATTAAAAAATGAATTGATATGAACTTTCTCAATGCCAATAATTTGAGATGAAATAAAAGTTTTTTTATTTCGAAAGAAAACATTCGGAAGCTTGAAATAGATCGGAAATATTTTCCGGATTTCTACAACATTTTATGATTTCATCTTTTTTTTCTTAATTCTCGAAGTAGATAAATTAAGTGGAAGGAGAGAACAGTTAAGTAAATAAACAAGTTACCTGTATCCTGGTTCGAGTGCTTTCTTCGGCATTTACATTCTGTATCAAAAGAACTCCCAACATCAGTGTTGTTGTGAATGAAAACAATCTGTAAGATTAAAAAAAATTGAAGTTTACATCATCAAGTTGACGCTTTCAATAAATAAACTCATTCATTTTTGTTTGATGTAAAAAATAATCTTTGCTTTGGTTTGCTTAGTTGTAATCATCATAAAGAGTTTTTAGCCATTACAGTCTGGCAATTTCAAAGTTTATGTCGATTTGATCGCGTCCAAGGTCACATATGGATTGATATTTCAGTTGTACTAATAATTTTATGAACCCCAAAAAAAGGCAAAGAAAAAGAATGAAATTTTATTGCTTTTAAAACGAGATTGAAATATTAAACGAATTTATGCGGGGAAAAGTCGTTAGTCGTAGTACTTGTTCGAAACATTTCTCATTGTTAGAATATTGCGGTGGTTTCTCTGTTTGGTGACAAATGCTATCAAAAAAAGTAACATATGATGACATTTAAAATAAAAAATATGAAAAGAGAAAAAGTCGAGAAGGAAACTTCAGCAGTTAAGAATTGTTTAATTTAATTTGGGTTTTGAAAGCACTTCATGTTGTTGTATTCTTTCATAAACAGATATCTTCTTGCTTATCTTTTATCTTTACACACAAAATATAATTATGCGTGTTTAAATGTTTAATTTGTGATAAAATACTTAGAGGAAATTCGTTTTCTTCTTCTTGCTTTGTACTCACACGAGTTTTGTTGTGCGATAGAAAGAAATTGGAACAATTTGCTGTTTTTTTTTCGTCTCTCTCTCTCTCTCCTTTACTTCACTGAGATTTATTGTGTAAGAAAAATTTAATTAAAATGTGAACTGTCTCAACATGATGATAAATTTTTGATAAGAAAATCAAGGAAAATGTTTCTTCTTTCTTCTTTACATGGTTAAGTTATTTATGTTAATTTAATGGAGAAAAGTTTTGTATTTTCTTCATTATCAATATTATGTTGTGGGTTCATTTATTGTGATTACATTAGCAAGGAATTTCAATAATTTTCGTTTGATTTCAAAGCTTTGAATTTTAACTAACCCAAAGTTATTTCTCAGGGTTTTTCTTGGGTTGTTTATTTACTTAAAAACTTTTTTGTTTTTTCATATTTATGTGAAGAATCAGAAACATTGATTCGGTTGAATTTAAATTTCGAAATAAAATCTAAACTATGAATCTTTATATCATGATCAAACCCAAAAATGTCTACTTAACTTGAGGGTTTCTTTACCGATTGAAATAAATAAAGTAAGATGAACATGATATCGACTTAAGTATCTCAAATTGATCGGAATTCTGTTCTATGCTGTAGACCAACAATTGACTTATTAAAACGAGATAAGTTGTTGATGATACCTTACCTAAACTTATTGTAATTCATGGTAATAGCCCGTTATCGTTCTCCTTTTCTATTTATCCTTCGATAAGTCGATTTTACTTCTTTTTTTTCCTTCCTTACGCTATTAAAATGAAAATACTGTACGATGGAATTTCGATTAGTTGCTTCTTTTCCACATTCCAAAAGGTTTTTCGTCCTCTCCAAAGACGGAAAAGTAAACGTGTGAAAAGATTTTGTGTGGCAACGATTTGGATGACTATCAACGAAGTGGTTGTAGGATTATAAAGATTTTTCCTTTCCTTGGTCTGAAATCAAATTTCCGCCATGGGACTCATTTAACGTCACTGTCACATATATTTTACTTCCAAAGTTCCGGAGTTTAGATAACAATTGAATATTAAAGTGTCTTCAAGATTATTCTTCACAATTAATGAAGTTGTAATATGTAATAAAGAGCCTTAATAACATTCATGAATTATATTTATCTTTCGATTAAGGATATGTTTTAAATATGTTCACTTTTTTTTGTCTCTGCACCATAAAATTTTATTTGTGTGATGCTAATAAAAAAGGTTTTGTCTCGTCATACCAAAACTAACCCGTTTCATATCAACAAGCACACACATTTTCCATGGACACCTTTTCCCACTCTTGTAATGCGTGATGATACGCTTGGGAAATTTTAATTCGTTTGATATGTAAGGAACACGTTCGAAGAGAAAACCTGTACCAGACTTAACTTCTTATTATTATTCTACTGTTTGCACAACGGAAAAGCTTTTTTAAGAAGACTCAATTTTCCTATTTTATGCGAAACGTTTTTTGCTTTTTCCTGCTTTCTTTTATTCGATTCACTCTGCAAATCAGCAAATCAGCGAATTAAATAAAAATATCAAATTTCTTTCGCTCACGAACCAAAAGTTTATTGAAGACAAACAAAAAATATTTTCATTGATATTTCAGCACTTTTTCACGCTATTTAGCAACTTCTAAGACCACTCCTAAAATGATCTAAATTTCATGTTTCATTAGTCGAATATCTGATGATTGTTGATGCGTTGCGACCGAAACTCACATTTCACGGATTCTTATTTTTTAGTAAAACGATAAATGTTGACACACACAAGCGTTTTATATTACAATCCCAGATTGATGGCTTTGATAACTTTCTTGATTCTACTTTATGTTTCTTTCGTCATGAACTGTCAAAATATAAAGAAATGTATCTACTAAAACTCTTCTCTTCGTCCTTATCATCAACAGCAGAGAAATGAAAACTTTTGAGAGACAGAAAATATTTCCGAACTGGCAGCTTGAAGCATAGAAACGAAACTGACGAGAGCGAACGGAAAAATATAAATGATCTTTACTGTGCGTGATAACTGAAAAGAAGAATCTTCGAAAGCTCGTTTTTATGTTTTTATGACAAAGCTTCCTTTTTGCTGATGTAATTTGAGCACGTAATAGCATGTTAGAGATTCTGGTTAATCAAAAAATTCTCAAAATTAAGTTCACTTTTCTTCATGCATGTTTGATTAAAAGAAAAACATAAATTCTAAATGCAAATTGAAACCTCGATTTTTCTGAGAATTTTTATTCTTCACTGATTACTTAAATATTCTTACAATAGATGGCGCGCATCCATTTACTTCTCAAGAAGCATAAAAACTCTCAAATTTTATGTTTCCGAATTAATACTAAAAGCTTTAGAATTTTCAATGTAAATAAACAATTCTAAATTCAAAAGTTTCTGAAAAGTTTATAAACAAATAAAACTTAAAATCCAGAAGTTCTTAAATTACAATATGTTCTTGTTTATTCAGATTATGCATTAGATGTTCATACATAATGAATTTGACAATTTAAGCAAGTCAGCTCAGAATTTCTGGAACTTCTTCTTAGCACCGGCAACTTTACTGACCTTCAATACGTTGAATTTAACTGTCTTTGAAAGTGGCCGACATTCTCCAACGGTGGCAACATCGCCGAGTTCAACATCACTAATAAAATAAAAATATTTAGTGTCACAAACAACGAGCAAAATTTTGTTTAACTCACCGGAAACATGGTGACAAATGTACGCTCATGTTCCTATGTCTCTTTTCAAATCGACTGTACTTGCGAACAAAATGCAAGTAATCACGACGAATGACGATAGTTCTTTGCATTTTCATTTTACGAACAACTCCTGTTAAGATTCGTCCTCTGATTGAGCACATACCAGTGAATGGACATTTTTTGTCAATATAATGGCCTGAAACTGCCTAAAATAGAATAAAATTACATTTTTAATATTTTCTTTCACTTAAATTCTTTTCCTTTGAACATGAATAAATTTTCAGAAAAGGTTAAGCAATAAGACATTCCTCAATGTGTATTAGGAAGACCGTCATGATGATTTTCATCAGGAAAAGAATAACAATAGATGAATTAATTTTGTTGTATTATATTTACCTCTTTTGGAGTTTTGAATCCAAGTCCAATATTACGATGGAGACGTGTTGATTTCTCTTTCTTACCGATAAACTTAATGTTACGGTTAAGATTGACTCCTTGCTGCTTTTGGAAAGCACGTTCAACCTAAAACGAAAGGAAAACATTATAATTAATAAAATATTCTTGATTGAGGTTAAAAACGCAACATAATTTTTTTAAAGTCATCAGGGATATAAATTGGATCACTTTCCTCCGCACATATGTATCAGAAGACCGTCATGATTTGTATCATCATTTAAATTTTTATTGCGTTTTAAGTTTTGTGAACAAGCTGAATTGTATGATAAAATATTTTTGTTGCTACATTTTTATTTTTCAAAATATTAAACTTATTCTAAAGTAGAACAAATTTTTCTTCATATTGTAAAAGAACTTTAGTAACTTAACTATCGTTTTCACTTAAAACTATTCCAATCAATCAGCTTGTTCACAACAAATATTTAATTTTACTGCAGATACTTACTTGATGATCAGCCATGTTGAGCGAAAAGAACGTGAAAGAGAAGTGAAAGGTTGTATCAAGTTGAATTCAAATAAATTTTTTCCGTTAAATTTTTATAAACGAAACTAATGTTCTTTGAATAATTCAAATTGAATTTTTGTCTTTATTATTAACCAATTATGAACGAATTCAATTTTAAATGGGACATGAAACAAATGAGTTCTATCGACTAGAAGTTCAACCTTAGGGGTTTTCGCTAATTAATTTTAAACAGTGCGTTGTTCAGTGGACTTCGATGTGAAGTTTAATTTGTTTTCTTCTCACTATCTTTTGATGCTTTAGTAGACTTGGCAGGCTTAATAGGATTCTCTTTACAATCCTTGTAAATATTATTTAAATCGAATGCTGCTTTGATGTTGTCTTCGGAGAAAAAGAATTTCACTAATTTTCCTTTGCTGTCTGCATATGGACGACGAGCGATTTCTTTCCCATTCTTGAATAAAATAACTGAAGGCAGTTGACGACTTAGAGAGCTATCAGAAACATGATATTTGTTTCCAATATCTGGCAGTCTACCAATATCCACTTTACCAAACTTCAAATTGTCGAGTTTATATTCGTTTGATACTTGAGCGAAAATAGGAGCGAAGTTAGCACAAGCCGGATTCCAAGTTGTATAGAAAGTTACAAGCCAAATGATTCTCTTGTCTCTTTCAAGTTCATCGTCCAAACTATTAGGTGTTCTGAAGTAAACAACGTTCTCAGGCCCACTATATGTTGGTTCGGGTAACATTAAAGCGCATAGAATGAAAATCACTCCAAAAGCAATGCCAAGTTTAACATCAGAATAAAACCACAAGATGAGATTCGCTATCTTCGTATACAGGAAAGAAGATGTTAAGTAATTGATCATTGTGACACTAAAGTGATAATAAAAAAAGAAAACATGAAGATTGTCTTAATTAATAAATGACCTCAATTTATTCCTTTGAATATTCATACCTTCCTGTTTTTCTAGATCGTATCATGACGACAATTATAAGAAAGAATAATATTTCTGTCTCACGCCCATCGAATTCGCAAGTCTCTTCTTGGGGAAATAAATAAGCATGCAAATAATTGCACAAAATTGGTGTTTTCTTTGCTATGATGTAGGTTAAACTTAAAAATATATTTATCCAATAATAAGGCTTGACGATCAAACGTAAATCTTTTTTGAACGACATTGTACACCGTTTAAATGCAATTTACTGAGCTGTCGCTCTTTTTTTCTCACTATGAATGTAAGTAAACAATTAAAAATAAATTACTGAATTTTCTCCAAATGAAAGAACTTTTTTGTCAAGAAAAAGGTAAGCAAAGTCACTAACATTATCAACACGTTCACACACACTTCTTGAACAACAAAAAACTTTGTTAAGTCAGCACAACCTTTCATAAATAATTCCAATATTGGCGACGTGTAAAAAGAACTGAATAACTTAATATAAATTGAAAGTGAAGAGATGGCAGACACAGTAGCGGACGCAGTTCAGCAAGCAGCTGAGAATATCACCGAGAATGCTAACGTGAAAGTTCCAGCAACGCCTGAAGGAATGGCGCTCGCATACGGATCACTTGTTATCATGGCCCTTCTGCCTATATTCTTTGGCTCGAAACGGAGTGTTTCACATCAGAAAGAACAAAAAGAATCAACAGAGAAGCCCGATATCATGACGAAAAAGGATGCAATGATGTTTCCTGTAAGTTTAAATTCGACTCTCAGTGACCATAATAAATTTTTATTTCATTCGACGTCATTTTTTTCAGATTATTGCATCTTGTGCATTATTTGGCTTATATATTTTCTTCAAGATCTTCTCAAAAGAGTATATTAATCTTTTGCTTACTGGATACTTCTTTGTATTAGGTGTGCTGGCATTAGCACATCTTCTGGCTCCCATCATAAGTAAACTTGTGCCATCGTCAATTCCCTACGTTCCTTTCCACATCAAATTCACAAAAGGCAGCAACGAAGATCTTATTGACTACAAATTCACATCGTATGATATTGTTTGCTTAGTGATATCCTCAGTGATTGGCGTTTGGTATTTATTCAAGAAACATTGGATTGCTAATAATCTCTTCGGCCTTGCATTTGCTGTCAATGGAGTTGAACTTCTTCATCTTAACAACATCATCACTGGATGTATTCTTCTCGGTGGTCTCTTCGTTTATGATATCTTTTGGGTGTTTGGGACCAATGTCATGGTCACAGTTGCTAAGTCATTTGAGGCACCAATCAAACTCGTTTTCCCACAAGATCTTATTGCAAATGGTCTCAGTGCATCTAACTTCGCTATGTTGGGACTTGGTGATATCGTTATTCCAGGAATTTTCATTGCTCTTCTTCTCCGTTTTGACTGCAGTTTAAAGAGAAAATCGAGTTTGTATTTCTACGCAACTTTCATTGCATATTTCATGGGACTGATGGCTACAATTTTTGTCATGCATGTTTATAAACATGCACAACCAGCTTTACTTTATCTTGTCCCTGCTTGTGTTGCTACACCAATTCTTCTTGCTGCAGTCCGTGGTGAACTTAAAATGCTTTTTGCGTAAGTTTATCTTAATTAAGTTAATAATTTCTTAACAAATATGAAGATTCTCTTTCTTACAGTTATGAAGATCATCCAGAAGAGAAAATCGCTGGCGAGAAGGAAGAAAAGTCAAAGCCAGAAGCAAAACAAGAAAAGAAAAAGACTAAGTAGACAAGTATTGTCACTTCATCCACCTCCGGAACTGAAAACTTCCCCTGAAAATCTGAAAATTTTTTTTTGCTTTGCTTTCCTTTAAAATAAAATAAATTTTAGAGCATTTTTTTATGAAATTGGAGAAATAGTTTAGATTGTAAGATTGCCGATCCACATATTTAGTTGATCGCGATACTTAGTAGAAAATCACATTAGATTCGATCAATGCTGTGATTAAAGCTTTTCAATCAGTTGTCAGGAACGAAATATTTATGGAAATTTGTGCTTCTTTTAGTCTTGTTTTAGGTTTTTTAAACATTTTTTATGCACAATAGTAAGAATTTTAAATATCTACGTCCTTAAAAAATAAAAATTAATGAAGAAAATTTGAATTATTTTTTTTTATTCCCATGGATTTTTTATTAATTATGAAAGGAAAATTGAGAAGTTCTGCTTCCGAAATAAAAATAATTAAGGATGATGAATTAAACTTTAAGATTTTCAGCTGTTAAATCTTCAAGTCGACGTACGCCGTTGCCATCAACAACCATAACATGGAATCGTTGTTGGCTGATTATCATTCGTTTTTGGATTTCGCGGGCGCATTTCTTCATAACGTCATATGCTTCATCTTGTGTGATATCTGAAAGACGATCAATTAGTAAAAAATAAATGTAATACGGAAAGCTTTGACATACTTTCATGATGAGTTCTATCCAGAATACTTCCACAAAACATTCCACCATAGCCGTGTGTGCCATGATCAACTGACAATGTATTTGCCAAATAATCAATGAATGTAAGCTGTGGACCATCAGTCTTATCGTAGCCCGCTACCAACATATTCACTTGATAAGCATATCTCGTTCTCAAATAATCGGCGAGGTTCTTTCTTGTGAAATAAGCAGCAGCTTTTGGACCCAACTCGTAACCATTTCTCATTTTATAGAGCAAAATATTTTTGGAAATATATTCGACAAATTGAACAGTATCTCCTGAATCGCCAACAGCAGCAATCATCAACGAGTCGGATATTTTATAAATTTTATTCTCATCTGAAAAAGTTTGAAAGAGTTAAAATTTTGTTTCTTTTTTTGCCGAATCATTCGAATTGTTATTGGTTAGAAAATTATTCATTTGCACAACACTTACCATCTTTAAGGATCATAATAGAGTGAGGATGTGAACTATCAGCTGCAAGCATCACAAAATCCTTGCCTTTGATTCCAACAATCGTCTCCATATTTCGGAATTTAATTTATTTTTTTTTAGTAATTCTTTACGAGTGATTTATTTAACGACGTGTGTATGAAAGGTTGTCTCGAGTTTATTCCAACTCTCTGAGAGAGAACTTAACGAAAGTTGACGAGAAACCTTTGATTTTTTAACGAAAGGTTGTGTCAATGTTTACAATCAATTTTTGAGTGTTTTGAGTAAAATATTAAATTTAATTGCAATGTCATTCGTTGATTCGATATGTATCAAAGTTTTAAATCATGCAGCAATCATTTATGGTAAGAATGATATATTTTTAATGCTTTTCTATATCATTTTAATTTCTTTAGGAAAGGGCAACAGATTAATTTTGCTAACCGGCAAAAAACAAATTGTTAATAATATTCAACCATATGATAAGATCCATCATATCAGCTTTATTAAACAAAACGAAGATGCTTACAAAGTCGTTTGTTCAGCTGGAAGAGAAGTTCTTGTTACAAACGTCATTGACAACAAATTTTGTGAAAGTGTTTTATTTAAAATTTCCGACTGGATTTCATCAATTAAAATATTGGAAAATGAGTCAATTATTGTAATGACAGCTCATAGCTTAGTGTCTTTGATTAAAATAGTAGAAGGAAAACCAATAATTGAAACAAAATTAAGATGTGAAGAGAATTCCACGCTTTATTGTTCACAAATTCAAGGATCATGTTGGAATAATTTGACATTCTTCGGTGGTACAGCGCTTGGTGAACTTCTTGTTTGGAGAAAAATTAATGAGAAACCTCACATAATTCATAGACAATTCCTCCACAATGGTGTTATCTTTTCCATTGATTATTATAACAATTATTTGTTGACTTCTTCCGACGATCGTTCGTTGAAAGTTCACAAAATTTCATTCGATAATAATTCGATGGAATTAAAAGAAATTAAACAACTTTTTGGTCATACTTCAAGAGTGTTTACTGGAAAAAGTATAAACTTTAATGACGGAATTTATTTTGTGTCAACTGGAGAAGATTCAAACGTTTGCATTTGGAGTGAGAACGGAGAACTTTTGAGTAAGAAAAATGTTTGCTCGTCAGGTGTCATTTGGAATTTTGACTATCAAAAAGAGACTGAAACTATCATCACTTGTAGCAGTACTGGAAAGTTAAATAAATTCAAATTGAGAGAAATTTTATTCCAAAAGCTCGACAAAATTTCAATAAATTCAAAAGCAAATCCAGCTAAAATAGAGTATTACGAAGATTCTTTAATTATTCTCGACAGTGACATGAATCTTCACTTAAAATCTCCTGGAAAGTCATCAATGAAAATTGAGCAAACTGAAGAAAATGTGAGGAAGTTTGTTGCAACTGATTTGTATGAAAATCGCTTGTTTCTTGCTGCGAAAAGTTCTGTACTCGTTTATGAGATTTCTAAAGAAAGAAATTTAACTTTTATGAAAGAACTTGACATAAAAAATCTTCTAAAAAACTCAGTTGATTTAAATTATTTAAGATCCATTCATAGTTTAAGTAAAAGTCGTATTTTTATATCTGATGCAAATGGCCTTTGTTTGGTGTTAAACATCGAACATGAAAGCATTGAAAGATTGTTGAAAATTCCACAAAGTTCAGAACCTTGGACAACTGCAGTTAAACAAATCGACAATATTTGGTTAGTTGCTGATCGTGTTGGAAATTTATTTCTGTTCAAAGACAACGAAAGAGTGGAAATTTTAAATCCAATACAAAAGCTTTGGAAGCTTCATGGACAACTTGGAGTGACTAATATAATTACACAAAATGATGGCTTTATTAAAACAACTGGAAATGATGGCACTGTGAAAACTTTATTTATCGATAAAGATGAAATTGAAATTCGTCAATGTCAACGAACTCTTGTAAATTGGATAGAAAAAGTTTGCATCTGGAGAGAAAAAGAATTCCTGCTTGGTTTTAATGATAATTATTTTGTGATTGCAAACAAACGTCAAATAATTTATGAACATCGATGTGGTGGTCGTCATCGTCATTGGGATGTTTCGTATGATAACATAAAAAATCTCGTCACTTTCACTTACATTCAGAAAAAGGAAATAAATTCAGTTCAATTCTTTCTCAGTGATTTTTCTTTTGATGTTGACGACGATGTGCTTTGGCATGTAAAAGAATGTAACGTGATGAAAATTGTTGATGGAAATGTTTTGATATCAGGTGGTGAAGACACATTACTTAAACTTACATCGTTTGAAGCTATTGGAAATGAAATTAAATTCAAAGAAATGTTGGACATCAACTCACAAATATCAAGCATCAAAACAATCGCAACATGGAAGGATCAAAATGAACTTTTGATTATTTCTGCTGGTGGTCGAGCACAAATTACTGTCACAAGAATATTCAACATGAAATACGCGAAAGAAGAAGTTAATTTCATGTTAACAAACTCATTGGAGAATGGAAATTCAAAGGAATCAACTTTAGATCCTGAGACAAGATTCACTTGCATATCAGTCGATAAAAATTCTTCTAAAGTTTACGTTGCATGTTCTGATGGATTTATAAGAGTTTTAAATCTCACAAGAACAAATGACGGGAAATGTATGAAATTAGAATTATTTTTAGAACATTTTTACGGAAAATGTCTTCTACAGCTTCATTTAATTGGTGAAATTATTTTAACAATGGCAACTGACGGCATTGTTTGTTTCTGGAAGCCAAAAAAAGATTTCTCTAATCTAAAACTTATCAAGACACTAAAACACAATCAAAGTGGAATCAATTGCTTTGATGTTTTTAATAAAGGGAATGGAAATTATGTAATTGGAACTTCTGGTGACGACATGGAAATTCACATAACAAAATTCGTAATCGAGAGTGAAAAAATTGAAGTTCAAGAAACGATTTTCACTTCTCTCGTGCATACAGCACAAGTCACTGGTCTTAAATTTCTTTCCGAAAAAATCTTTTTCACCACAAGCATTGATCAAACGATTTGTAAATTAAAAATTGAAGAAGAAATTAAAATTTTGGATAGAAAGTTCATTTGCATTGCTGATGTCAAAGGTTTTGAGTTTACTATTGACAAAATATTTGCTTATGGAGCCGGTTTGGAAACTTTACCTGTTTTTTAATTACTCTGAATTGTATACAATTCTCAAGCTAATAAAAACAAGTAAATTCACTGCCAATATTTCTTATTTATTTACTTAATTCATTCAACAAGTGTTTTGTGTTAAATATAGGATAAATGTTTGCTTATAATTAAGTTATTTTCATTTTGTGAACAGTCACAATAAAACGCAAGGGATGTGGAAGTTGGTTGGTAATAATTTACATGACTTTAATGGCTTATTTCTGTTGACTGTTGCATTCAAGCATCTTTTGAGCTTCATTTTGAATGAGACGATAGATCAACAGCATCGAGTCCATCTTAGGATTGCAAGTGATAGATTGTGGCGGATTCAAGTTTGTTGCATCGTTAAACATTGTTTGGCCTGTTTGAGTTAAACTTCTTTTACCCCATGATGGCGTGAATGTCAACTGAATGTTTTTAATTATGAAAAAATCTTTATAAAATAATCATTATCACTTGTAAATTCAACTCACTTGTGAATGAGATTCTTTCAAACACAACAACAATAAACACGATGCAAGCAAGCAAACGTTAAAAAATCTCACAAATTTCATTTTATTATATTTTTTATTCTCACAAGAAACTTTTGATTTAAACAGATTAAGAAATATTTAATCACTCGGAAGATATTTCCAACTTATCAAAGCTAATTTCAGAACTCAACTAATTTACGATCACTAATCGTAAGTCATTTTATACCAAAAAATAACTTCCAATGCTGAGATTTTCTTATAAAATCATTGGAAGGTTTCTTCTCGGAAAATTGGGAAAATTGAGTAAAGAAATTGTATTCGTTTGTGTACCGCACACGCATATTGAATCTTAAGAACAAATCCAAATAAGATAATTTATAACGTGTTACGATTACAAAGCATTTATGTAAGAAATTAATGTTCATGCTGACCTAAACAATTCTTCACTTACATAGGTGAAAAAGGAAAGTTGACATACATTCGTAAGGGAAGAAATCTTAATAATAAATAAATTAATATTTTCAAGGTGTCAAACGATGACTTTTAACATCTTTATACGTAATTGAAAAATCTATGGTACGGTTTTAATTTTATGTAACAAAATGTATTTTGAGAATGATTAATTACCAAACTCTCGTCAATACCTTTTATTCTAAAAACAATTAAAAAAATTAACTGCTAAACATTCAACGTGACGTCGTGCATGGTTATTGATCAAAATCATTAAACCTGGTGACAATCAGCGTGTACGCTCACGCTTATCTTAATATGTTTTCTTAACATTCTAATTATTTTTTTTCTACTTTAAAGGGTTTCTTAAAATATTGTTGACACAATGTGAGAATTTAAAGGCTTCAATTACAGAGAAAACAAATTTTAATTAAATAATTTCATTGAACTTTCCAGATGAAAATTTCTATTGAATATTAAAAGGTTAAAAACAATAATAATTTCTAATTTAAAACAGATTTTATTTCTATAATCAAATTATTTACATAATCTAAGACTTTTCTGACTTTTCCGATTCATCAGATTTATTTGAATCTTCAAATTTTCCTGATTCTCTTACATGAGCGTCAAGAATATTAACCAAATTTGATTGATGACTTTGAAGATTTTGAACGAGTTGACTTGATGCCATGTTCAAGACATTTACAAATTGTGACCTTGCAATATCAATGTTTCCTTGTTGTGAATATTCTATGAGTTCATTTTTTGACAAAAATTGATCTTCGACAATGCCAGCTAGGAGATGCATCTGAGGAATTTTTTTAACGATTTTTAAAACTGTTGCAACTTTCTTATGATCTGGAGAAAATGCATATACAGTACTTTGGCACTTTTTGTTGTGTAATGATAACACTGCTTCGTATTTTGTATCATTCAATGCTAGTTTCATGATTTTCATTCCGTATTTTTTTATTTGCATGCCTTCTTGAAAAAATGCCACTCTGGCTTTAAAGAATTCATAGCTGCTTATAGGATTTATATGGAAGATTGTCACCATCTGTGAGTGATCAAACCAATTCTTTGTTTCCCGAGCGATTATTTTCTCATAAGGATTTTCCTCGGTACTTCTATAAATTTTTCGAACCTCAATACAAGGTTTAATTTCTACTCGTTTAGGATAAATTGGATTTGATACAGCCTCGAGCAGCTGTCGATATCTTCCCGGCGCTCGTGGTCTCTGTAAACATCAAATCCAAATACATTTAGAAGAAATTAAAATATTTTTGCAATTCCTACCTGAATATTAATTTTGCCTCGAAATCGCTGAAAGTTCAATACCGGTGAATGTGGTGTAAGAAATGCTGTAAGCATACAAATTATATGACATTTATTATCAACAAAATGAATTGTATCTTACATCTTTTTAGTGTTTGAGCCATTCTGTCAAAATATATTTTTTTTCACGTTGTTATGATTTACAAAGTTGTTTAGTCCAAAAGGCAAATAGATTTGACTACAGTGAAAATTCAAATTCAAAAAGTGACCAGTAAAAATAGATCGTTGTAGACACAGAAAATTTGAATTTTTATGTTTATTGCAATTTAAAACTTCCAAATCAAATGAATTAAAAAATTAAAACAAAGAAAATTGCGAGTGAAAAAATGGTTATTCTTCGTTGCGCACATACGCTATGGAATGCTAGGAAAATGTTTTTGGGAGAATCAAACAAACTCTCATATTTCTTTTTGATCAGAGAAAAAGAAATTTGATAAAGTGTGTGAAACCTTGAACCGCCTTACACGTGTAGCATTCTTTTTTATTGGAAATCTGTTGTTTTCAAAAAATTGGTGTACGATTATACTTATATAAATACTTATAGACTGTAAGAATCAGATTTGATGATCGTCAAACATGAAAGACCTCGCAAAAATCAATAAATATGTACAACATCCATGTAAACCTCGTTAAGTTCATAAACCTTCGATCACGTTTATCTACTAAAAATGTGTTTTTGCCGATATTTCCTATATATCTAAATTAGCTTTAAAGAACGTGAAACACATTAAAATGATCAAAAAATTATTTTTTAACAAAACTTTGCACTTTTTATTGAACATAATTTTGCATTCATTGTACCTTGTGGCATTATTGACAATTTTTAAAAACAATATAATACAACAGATAACAAAATTCAGATTGCGTAATTGATAGATGTTTTATTTATAAGTTGATTTTCCTGTCTGGAGGAAAATGTGAAAAATATATTTGTATCAGCAGATATATAATTTACTAAAATGTATGTATGTACACGTATCGTTTTCATTTTATCATAAATTTAATTCCAGTCTTTTTGGTATTGCTTTTTTTAGTTTCTAGTAGAGTATGCAATTAACAAAGCAACTTGAAAGCGTGTTTAGTGAACACCCCTAGTATCTAACTTCTTATAGTAGTTTTCCAAAGGCACATTGGCATGAGAATATTTTTTAAAACCGAAAACTTTTAATTATTTTGGTGTGTGTTTTCATTCATTCACTTAGATTTGTAGTAATTTTAAATACATAACCATAACTTGAGCAGAAAATCATTTTCATAAAAAGAGAAGATGAAAAAATAAGAAAATAAATAATTTAAATGCTTTCATAAATATCTTCACTTTCCGACAATAGTTATTAGGATAGTTAAATGTATGAGAGTTTAACGAGAATTCTTTAATTTAATAAAGCATGTTTGCAACGTAAAATTAACGTCGTCGTTTTCGACAAACCATTGCCATTACTATTTCCTAGTGGTAGGTGACAAAACTATTACTTCTGTCGCGACGTCAATTTTATAAGCCATTGCTTCCTTTTCTTAATAAAAAAAAACTACCTTCAAGTCGTTAATATTCTATTTTATCTCAAACGACTTCCAGGTAATAATTTTTTCATTCATAGTTATAATTTGAATTCATCAATAAAAGAAAATAAAGCTTTTTGCCTTTCTTGGAACACAAAACTTCTCATTTCCTCAAAGTGCACTGGTGCATTCATCTGGTGAAGATCGGTTGCTGTTTTTACCGAAACCACACATTGGCATGTACTTCATCAAACTTAAATTGCTTTTCGATATTTCTGGGCGGGTCACTAAAAGTGGCTCAACCGGGTTGTAGTTGCCGTTGGGCAAGGTTGCAGTTAAGTCTGGACTTACATCACTAAGATATGAACCGTTAAGTTTTTTAGGTATTTTCATGTCAATGTATTCATGATTATCTGATTGACTTATGAAATGATTTGAATGATTCTGGAGGGCAGATGATGATACAGAAGGCCTGAGAATATCTACAGTTGTAGCAGGTGTATGAGAACGATCGCGATTATCATTGAAAGACTCAAATGTCTCAATCTGACTGTTGTCGCCATCAATCAAATTCACTTGGTTCTTAAGGGATGGTTTAGGAACATCCATACATGGTGTCAACATTCTTGGACTTTTCGAAATAAATTCAACAATTTCTGACGCGTCGGGACGTTTATCTGGATCCATGTTGAAACATGATGACATTAAAGCTTTTAAATGTGGTTTACAAGTATGCGGAATTTTTATGCTGTTGCCCGCTTTCACATGTTCCTGTTTCGTGATGAGAAATAAAATTGAAAACTTCCAAAATAATGAGAGAAAATACTTACAAACACTTCGTTGTTGTTCATATCAGCAAAAGGAAACACTCCAAGCGTAACAATCTCAAACAAGAGAACACCATAAGACCAAATATCCGATGCGTGTGAGAATCTTCCACCCTGTAAAACATTATTAGACAACTTTTAGTAAACCTTGTCTGTCACAAAAGTTTCATTGAACTTGTTTTGATCAAAATTTTCTTACGTCTATTGACTCAGGTGCCATCCTAAGATGCGATATCGAAAAAAAAGTAAAAATATCATAAACAAAACTGCAATTAAGAAGACTTTTTGAAGGTTTCTCACCATCTGACTGGTAACATTCCTTTTCTTGCAAATCTGTAATAATCGCTTTGAAAAGTTGATCGCGCCATTCCAAAATCACCAATTTTAACAATTCGCTGTGCATTTATCATACAATTACGGCAAGCAATATCACGATGTACATAACTCATTGAAGCTAAATATGAAAGACCACGTGCAACGTCTAAAGCCATCAGAGTTAAACGTTTCGGGCAGACATCAGAATCGTCATTAATTTTATCATTCACTAAATGACGTCGAGCAAGGAGATAAGTTTTCAAATCACCATACAACATGAACTCCATGATGCTGTAAAGTGGCTCAGTTTGAAGACAAACACCTAAAAGCTTCACAATATTTTTGTGATCAAATCGTTTCATTGTTTCTGATTCTGCAAGGAAATCCAAACGATTCTCAGCATTTGATCCTAATTTGAGTGTTTTTATAGCAACTGCCGTCCATCCATCATCATCTTCATTAATTAAAGCTTCACCACCATAAACTGTGCCAAAAGCACCTTCGCCTAGTTTTCTGTTGATTACGATATTAGCACGTGGAACTTCCCATTTCGTAAGTTCGACACCATTTACTACCATTCCATAGTTTGCCATTATTTGAGAATTTTCGATAAGTTTCTTATCATATCTTCGCTTCCAGAACAAGAAACTTGATGCGGAACAAGCGAGAACAACAACGACACAGAAAGTCATAATCAAAAATGTCGAAATTGTGTGACAATCAACATTGAATGCATCGGCGATTCCTTTTAATGTACAACTTTCAGTTCCATCTGTTGGCTTTTCACCACTCGCCCACCAAAGTTTTCCATTTATTATTAAATCACCACCGATTGCTGTTCGATTTGAGATTTTTGGCTTGTAAGTTCCGATCAATACAAAATCATTTTTCTGCCATTGAAGAATGTTAATGTCGACAAATCGTGAACCGCCTCGACTGAACTGAACTCTTCCAGAGACGCCTTGAAAATTCATTTCACTGATTAAATCGGAAATCTTTTCCATTGTCTCATCGCTGTGAAGATTTCTCATGTACCGATGTCGTGGTGAATCTTAACAGAAAAATTATGATGTGTAAGAATGTTGATAAAGGAGAGAATTGAATAATGGAAAACAAGAGAAAATTACCTTCTTTGATCAATTGTTGCAATGCTTTCACATAAACCCAAATTGCATCGTAAGTGTAGCCAGCATAGTCAGAATAATAAGTTCGATTCATGTTGCTTTCCTCCAAATATTTCTCTTTCCACTCTTTTATCGTTTGGTTTCCTTCGATCAAGTCATCGTCATTACCAAATGCAGAATAACTTAATGATAAATGTCCATCCATTGCGCTTCTTATTTCACTCTCTGTGCATGATTTATTGAACTGTTGTAAACCCGTGTCGTTAATTTTCATCGAAACATAAACCGGTAAGAACCAAACATATCCAGTCTTTGCTGTCATCTATTAAATTAAAGAAAAAAAAGAAAAGCGAAATTAAATATTTAGAGTAGAAAAATAAAAGTGTCAGGTTTATGACAACTCGTGCAATTTAATGCAATAAGAGCTGAAAAATAATGAACAATGAACTTATTTTTGTGTTTTCTACTACGTCAGATGATAAATGAAAAAAGAACAGAAATTAAATAACTTCTGTATGCACATTCTTACCTGTAATTTACTTGCCGCGCACATAATCAGCGATATGAGAGTGTGATCGTGCACATCGGCGATAATAATTTTGGCGCGGTAATTGTCTCGAAGGCCTTTGAGATACTTTAAATGAAGGAAAGAATTCTTAAATTTCATAAATTTCAATTTATTATTTAGACATCCAACTTACAGTTTTAAAGCTTTTCAATTGACTCTCTTGCGATGATGCTCGAGGAAATTTCTGATTCACGATTAAATGAATATTTTTCTCTTTCAATTTTGCATCCATGTTAGTTATGTATTGAGTATATTTCATTCCATCTTCTGTTAATGCGGCTAAACGTTTCCAATTCATTTCAATGAGAAGTTTTGCATAAACATCTTCATACCTAAAGTCAAATTTCGATTTGATTTGAATGATAAATAAATGATAAAAGAAGAAAACCTTGAACCTTCTTATTGTACATGATGATTAACAACAACTCACATTTTTGTCTCGCCAATCGTTCGAAAGAAGTGCGGGAATTCTTTGCGGTCGTCAAATGAGATTCCTTCAGCTGAATATGTAATAACACTCATTTTAAAATGTTTTGAGATGCCGGCAATTGGTTCAACAGCTTCGCTACATGCTTTATGAATGAAAATATGGAAAGATAATTAAATTAATTTCACGCTGATAAGTAATAATAAATATTTACATGGACCAAGAACTCCAACAAGATGCTTTCGATGTGAATAATAATTAATGAAATGCCTTAAAACAAGATCAGGTTTGCACTCTGAATTGGCAATTTTAACTTCTAATTTATAGCCAGGCAAGATGTTCATGTTGTTGTTTATGATTTCTTTGGCAATGTTGATAACGGCTGGAATTCCATCATATTCACGACCAGTTTTAGGTTCAGGAAAGCTGTCAAATGACCAATAATTGTTATTATTATGTGCATAAATGTAACAAATAAATTATAGAATAAAATTCGCTTACATTCCACCAATTGAGATTTCTCTTCGATCATCTAACTTTCTAATCCACGAGTCTTTATGATCTAAATTGTAAATATTCTTATTCATTTGAAGCCATTTACAAGCGATTTCATTATAATAATCTCCAACAGTTTCTGTGGTTTCCTCATGTGCACGATGCTTTAAGTAAAGTCTTTCAATTTTCGGCAAGACAGTTTCATATAATTGTATCATCGACTTTAATGAAGGAAATTTCAATCTTTTTATTATGTCCATAAGATCGTCTGACTCTTCAACTTTATCGTTAAAATAAACCGACACAGGAATGATGTCGTAGCGACAGCTGTAAGAATCATTTTTGTACAGTTCACAATTTGGCATGGTTAGTGGATGGTAAATCATTGAGCCGCTGATGATCTCCGATGGTGTCCAATGAAGCACAAGAAATTTATCGGAAAAATTCTTTTTCTTTAAATTATTTGCGGTTACAAGTGAATTTAACAGACGAATGGTTTCACTTAAGCGATCACCCATGAAGAAAATGTTCATCTTAAGTTTGAATTTCTTAACGTGATTAATGAAGAATTTTAAGTCATGATAATGTGAAGTGAGAACAGCAACACATCTGAAAATGTTTTTTTTTTGTGGCAAATTTGACATTTATCTAAATGAATAAGAAAATTATTTTTTAAACTCACGGTTCAGTTGCAGAGAAGCATTGAGGTGGACGGAAAACTCCTCGATGTTCGTTATTTTTATCGACATATTTGATGATTGTGTTCTCATCAATTCTAAAATCTTTTATTATCTCATTGTATGTTGGATTGCTGGCAATGAAATCCTTGTAAGAATATTCTCTTGTTGCAAATGACTTTTGAATGAAAAGTCCATAACGTGTCAGATCATCACTCAATGATCCACCTTGACGAACACGATCAGGAAACTTTAAATGTGCGTCAGGCGTTATCCAAACTTCTAGGTTAATGGCAGGATTTGAATCTCGATTAAGTTCCATTAACGTTGCATATTCAATGACTTTATCTTCCGTTGAAAGGGAAACTATTCCATCTAAACTTTCACTGATTTCAATAAATTCAAAATCTAAGATTTCTCTTAAGAAGATGGCGAAAACCCTCGTAACAAGTTGATGTGTGATGCGATGAGTTACTTGAAGCTCAAGTGATTCGAGGCTTACCGTTGGAAATGTGGAATCTGCAAAGTGCAATGAGTCTTAAATTTCTTTTAATAACATATAAATTATTAAAATTTATGCTCGCAACGTGATCACTTCGCAGATTATTACTTCAAGAACATGAACATGTATCGTGGATGAGTCAATTTACACAATAATTACTCTCTTTTCATCTCGAATAATGTAAATGCGACGAAGATCATTAAAACTGTCATCTTTCTGTGAGTTTTTTGTAGCGTCTGGCGCATTACACAACCAGAGATAAAGGAGAGAAAACATTTTCTTGTATTATTTTAATTTTAATTTAAGAACATCAAGGAAATATTTTTGTCACATTTTTCTCGGTTCTTAAGAAGTTTTCAGCATTTCTGTAAAATTGTTTTCATGCGCTTCTTGATGTTGTGAGAGTGTTCGAAGCTTAAAGTTGTTTGAATTTTTATCTGACTTTTGTAAAAACAAATTTATCGAAAATGTTCTGACATTCTCTTAATAATTAAATTTGTCACGATTGATATCCTAATCAATGTTTCATTTTATTTATCAGCAGACGTAAAACATGAAACTTCGTTCTCATTTTTTATGAACTTTTCATTCATACGAATTGATTCAGAGGGAAAAAACTTCTTTGTGAATGAAATCAATTTTTTTTTGTCAGCTTTTTTTAGCTTTCACACGACACAAAACATTGCTGCATCTTCATATTTTTTATTTATTTTTTTGAAATAACGTCCATTAAAATTGATAAGACTTGTAACTTAATTGCAATACGAAGTAATAATGGCTCGCGAATTCATGTTTATGCTGACTTTGTGTGCTATTAAAATATCAATGTTGACGTTTCTTTTACATTTTACAAACACGTAGTTAAGTTATGAATATTTTATGTCCACTTATAGTTAGATAATTGAGTCGGAATTTTTACAACATGTCGACGCATAATACTCAAGAATTAAATTTGAAATCAGATTAAATTCTTTCGTCATAAAAACTTGAACTACTCCATATTATATTTTAAGTGAGAAATCAACAATTGTAAATTATTGGAAACATCCAGAAATGTAATTTAAATAAATTTAAATAGAAATCAGACAGTCAATGATATTTATGCATTTCATTGTTGACCTGAACTTACCAATTTGTGGTTTATCCAACGAACATGAATGATTAAAGTATTTTTGTGTTGATAATGCTGACGATATCATCAGCATGATGATGAACAGTCGCATATTTCGCAACACGAAAATGAATCTAGAAAAAGAAGAAATGAAAATGTTTTCATTAAAAAATATATTTTTGGACACTCCACGTCTTACTAAAAATAAATCTGAATCATGACCTTATACAACACTGCCCCGTTGCGATATATTACAAAATATTTTCATTTAAATTAATCGATTGCAATCGATTGCTGCACTTAAAAAAAGCATGACGACTGTGAATGAAAAGGGGAAAAAAGTTTTTTGTTTCCTCTTCTTGTCGCTTTATTAAAACGAAAAGTTATTTGTTTTGATGGCACCACCACGCAGTTACTGATGTTAGACTGTTTATCTTTGATAGATGTTTCATATGAGTAGTTGTAGTAAAAAAATAAATAAGACGTAATTTTATTTAAGCGCCAACCAAGAGCGTTGAACAGCTGAAAATGCGTAGCTTACAATATTAAAAAAATAAATAATATGAGTGGCCATGAAAAACAAAACAAAATGAAAATGTGATAAGAAGAGAGAGAATGTCTCAGCAGAAATACTTTCAGCACGAGATTAATGTTCTTTATTAGACGAATCAAAGGAAATCTGATATAAATTTCAGATGATAATGTCGTAGACAGACAGATTTGTTTTGTCTCCTTCATATAAATTTATTCAACATTTGATCAACTTCTTGCTAAATTCCAAATAAAAATTCGTGAACGTGTTTAACGGCTTTGCTGCATTTTTCTTGATTAATCTTTTTTTTCTGGTACCCGCCACTTGCCCAAAGACACAAACAACAGAGAAAAAAAATAATAATCAAAAAATGTTGCGCAGAAAAGAAATCGTCGACTACATTTATGGATATCCATAAAATTGTCTTTGAGCAGTCGTTTCAAGATTCACATGTGAGCTTTTTTCAGATGATTGGCTTTTGCTGTTCATTAAGAATCAAATAAAAAAATTTCATTCCTTTCAGAATCAATTGTAAGTAGAAAATCGTAAACGTTAAAATCCCGTTAACTAACTAAATTTTTTACGAACGAAACTTTCTCGCTGATTTCTCAATGCGTTTGAGACAAACCGTTTCAAAATCAAATTTCACCAATTTTTTTTAATCAAAGATGAGAAGAAATTTGCGTCTCATTTCGCCATCGTATTTATTAACGGCGTCAAAACTTTCCTTGAATTTGAGAATTTATTTCATCGCCTTTTAACATTGTCACAAATGTTTCTTTTTCTTTCGGAAATCTTCATTATTTTCCCCCCACAACGCATGATTTTGTTATGAAATTCTTGATGATTTGCTGTTTTTTGTTCTCTCATCTCACCCACAACTATTAGATTTTAGTGTGATTGAAGAATTATTCTATCATTTTTATATTTTATAAACAACAAACTCAAGATTTATATTTCTTTAACTTCTCTAAATGTTCAACCAATTAGATATCTACTATTGAAGCTAATGCCACAATCACTTGACGAAATTGAGTTCACCAATCACTCTAATGAATAGTGAGCGTGAAATTGATAGCTACAATTATCATAAACAATCAAATTTTGTGTTGTTTATTTCGTTAACACTGCTTGTGATCGTCTTCATAGACTTCGAAAAAACTTCCAATTCTCTTGCCCACGAGTATTTAGTGGCATTTGACAATCAAACACTTTGTTCGCAATACGTTGAATGCATGACAAATGCTGGTGGAAAAATAAACAAATATTTAGCAGCATTAATGATAGAATATCTCAAAATTCACAGACAACAATCATCTGAGACGAGAGACGGTTTATGGTAATTAAAGTTCGATTCACTGTCAAGTTTCATATAACATCGTCTTGAACTTCTATATTTACGAAATATTTTGGTTTTTGAGAGGCTTGTCTGCTTCATTTTCATTACCAGGGACATTTTAAACGAATTTCTAAGCTTTTAGAGTTTCTGCGTCGTAACACCATCGAAATCACAATGAATTTTAATCACATATTTATTCTCTCTCATCGGTCTCGCGACAATCATCAGCAAGTGGCTCGAGCTTTCAACTCTTCTTTCATTTTCGTAGATTTTTTTTTTCATATTTTAAACATTGCCTGGTTTATTTTTAACAACACTTTGCTTCTTGCTTTGCTTTTATACTTCGTTTTTTTTTTCGTTTTTATTTTTTTGTGGGGACGAATAAACAAGCAACAAAACAAAGTTGTTAAAAAGTGACTTTGTCGGGCTTATCATTGCACAACTCATGATAGTAGCAAAACGATTTTCTTGCATGCAAAATATTCTGTATTTGCACAACGCCACTAAATATCAATGAACTCGACACATTTTATAGCTTTTCTGAAATTTATTAATAGGCAAGTTTTGTTATCGTAACTCACCTAATGATAATTGATAATGTCGTGAAACTAAAACTTTGTAAGTTTATTTATTTTTTATGCTTGTTAGAAATTTTATTTCATTTTTAACATATTTTTATTAATAACGTCGTTGAAGGATCCTGATGAACTTTCGATTAACGATCATTCGTTGGCATTCAATGATATGAATAACAAAGTAACTAAAAACTTGTTTTCGTCTTCGTCATTAAAGAATCTGGTTTGTTGTTATTTTTTTTGTTTTTAAGTTTCAAAACCAACGCGCCACTATTCACAACATAAAATATTTTCTTAATTCATTCACAGCTTACATTGTGTAAGAGCGACAATTCTCATATTTTCCTTCTTCGCGAATAAAACTTAAAATTCTAAACAAAAATTCTGATAACTTTTTTGTTTTTGTGACGTCTACAACTGACAATCTGTACCTTAGCACTTTCATAGAAATGAAAACAAAGTCGCAACATTTTTTTTACGCTCACGATTAATTAATTAAATTTTCTTCCTTCGTATCATCTTTCAATGTCTTCACGAAATTCTTCTTCTTCTCTCAATTTTATTTATTTCTTTGACAAAATAATATTTTTTTTCTTTTATTTTTTCCACCACATGAAAAAATTTCGCGGCTTATACGTTGAGCTGACTATCACTGAATAACAAAACGTTCATAAGCAACCGAGAATTTTCTCACGCGTTTAGCAATGAGAGAAGAAAATGAATGAGCGCGAAAATAAAGAGTCGGTTAAGCCGCTCAAAAATATTTGCCGTTTGACGAAATTCTTGTCTTTCTTTGATAGAAAACTAATTTTCATTCTACTTACATTTGAAAGATTTCTACAGATGTGTTTGGATGACTTTGCTATGTGGAGAAAGAAATTTTTGAGTGACTCAAAAGCTTCTTTAATCTTGTTTCGAGACATGGGCGTGAGAATGAAGATTTCGATGACAAACAAGTCTCAAAACTGTCAGTTGATGTTTTAGCTTCTATTTAAAAGCTTTCTCAACAGATTAAAATAGATTAGATAGATCTGGGCAGGTCATCAACAAGCATAGAACTTTTAAATAACAAAAAAACAATCAAAATATTTTTTCTTTTTAATTTAATTTTCTTTTATTCCACTCAATCGCTTATCGTTCTAAATTTCTCTGATAATAACAATAAAAATTACGAAATAAGTTTCTTAATATATGTTCAAATCTAATGAAAAATTCTTTTTCTATATCTACAAACGCAATGAAAATTGCACTCAAAAACTAACGAGACACAATTTTAATTTTGTTTTCAAAGTTTTTATTTAATTTATTTTTTCTTTCTTTTCATCTCAAAATCTTTTTCTCTTCCGTTTTTAATCCTATCTTTCATGAATATACGGACAATTCTTATTACGACACATTCCCGTCCTCTGAAATTGATTGCAAATGCCACGACGTGCGTTCCCTCTCACCCAATTTCCATTATTATTGTTATTAATATTATTATGTGGACGACCATTGCCTCGGAAATTGTTGTTATTATTGTTGTTCATACCAATACGATTGCCAAACCCGGATAATTGCGGTGGAAATGGTGGAGGTTGTTGTACGAAGTTCGTTGGTGGAATCATCCACATTGCATTCGGTGCTGGTTGATTTTGATGAATGCCTAAAGGTGGAAAACTTGCGAGTGGATTGACGATAGGATTTAAGCCGAGCGATGGTGGAAGACCTAACGGTGTCGCTGGTGGAATGCTAATTTGATTGAAAATGCCACCGAAAGCGCTCGGCACAAGTGTCGATTGTAAGTCAGTCTTTGGTGCTGGCCATTGACCAGCTGTGAAGTCTTTAAAAGCGTCAGGATTATTTCCTTCAGCAGGATCTTCAAGTGGAATTATTTGAGGCTCAACATGATCATAACTCTCAGGATCAGGCTCATGAGGTGAATCATTTATTGAATGACGGAAATAAAGTTCTTGTAAAACATTTCTTTCACGTTCAGCTTGTATTTTTACTTCTTGACTCTTTGAGCCATAATTTATCTCAGGCACATTATCAACAATAATAAGACTACGCCACGTTGTTTGTTCAGCCATCGTGTCTTCATTCTGCATCTTACGTCCGAGTAGAAAGGCACTGCGTTCGCCAACATGTTCGATTTGCTTTTGTTCGGTGAAGGTTTTGCTGACATTCGTTCGTTCAGTTTCATCGAGTTCAAAGTATCGCGTCTCGGTGAGTTCTTCATCAGGTCGCCATCGAATTGATCGCTTTTTCCGACGTGGAAGATTTGGATCAACTAAGACGCAAGAAGGTCCTTCAGGTCCACAACCAACTCCTGGCCTTCTCTTTTCATTTATCGTTGATTCTTCTGATTGGAATTCTGGTGACTTGTCAGCTTTGCTTTCAACGTCTTCAGAAGATTTTTCTCCTTCTTTCTTCTCTGTCGCTTGTTCAGGTGACTTGTCGCCATCAACTTGGCCATCTTTCTTCGCTTTCTTCTCATCACTTTCCAGTTCTTTGGTCGGTGACTTCTCGCCATTTGTTTGTTCTTCATCGTTTTCCTCCAACGTGTCTTTATAGAACTTCAATGGTTTAGCTTCAACCTTTGGTGACTCAGGCTCGTCTTTCTTAGAATTTGATGGCAAACGTTTACGCTTCTTTGAATCTTTTTTAGTTGAATTTGCTGAAGCATCTAAAGCGTCCATGAATCCAATCGATTCAACAATCATCGCTAAAATCATTAAAGAAAGAGAAAAGAAAAACGTTAAATTTTGTAATTAATAAACACAAACAGAAAATATCACGCAGTTAAATTCAGAATGGTTCCGCATCATTGAAGATTCTTTTAGATTGTTTAGATGATTGAAAAAAAAATCGAGCGTGGGTGTACAGAAAGTAATCAAAATTTACATGAGGAAAATGTTCGCGAAGCTTAAAATGTGACAATTTCTCGATTCTTTTTCTCGTTTAGAGGCTTGTCAAATCAAATATTTGATCCAATTTATTCTTAATCTTTGATGGTGTTTCTAATTTAATGACATTAAGAATGTTTTTTGAATCTTAAATAGACCATAAATATTATAAACTCAAAAATAAAACACAAGTCATCATCATCAGGTCGTAGCAGCAAATTCTTTCTTCTATTCACTGTGCTTGAGTGTTTGTTTCTTATAAGTGGGCTATTATCTCATCTATTTTTGTGATTTCATGACATTGTCTACCCACGCTCTTTAATAAGTAATCCGATCGCAATAAATATCTATCACTCGTAATAAAACAAGATTTTCAGTTTTTCATATTTAAAAAAAGATAAAATGAAAAGAAAAATTTCTGATGCTTTCTACAAGACATCAAAATTTGTTTTCTTTATAAAGAAAGCATTGAACGTGATAGAAGTCATCACGTAATTTGTGATTAATCATTGACGAAATCTCGGAAAAAGTTTAATTAAGATTAATAGCCAAACCTCTCTCTCATTCATAATGACAAATATTGTGAATCCACACACCCCCGCTTTAATTGAAAAATTGAAAACCTCAACTAAATTTGATGCTACGACTCAATTTCAAATGGCAGAGAATTCTATCATTTCGCCTGTCGGAAAAATCAACTTTCCAACTAGCAAAAAAATTCCTTTATTCGTCTTTCATGATTTTTTTTTATGATTTTTTTAAACAATATTTTAGCAACATTGCATTTGAATATTTGCTGTAGAAAAAAGAATATTTCCACTATTGCTAAAATGCCTGAAAAAGAAATATAAAATGTTTTCCATTTGTTTCTTTCATTTTTTGTTTTGTTTTTGTGCACAACAAATGAGACAAAATACTTATATAGGAATAAATGCAAAACCATTCTGAATACATCCCGTGACGTACCTGGAATTACATAGAGAAATTGGATTAGTATTTGGTGATACTTACGCTTAGGTTTGATCAGTTTAACGCCTCCAACTCTTTCTGGAACGTTGTCAGTGTCGAGAGCTTTCTCTAAATGAAGTTTTTTGCTGGGTGGTGGTGAAATTGCTGATGATTTTGAACTTATCGATGATGGCAGGGATGTAAGAGTAACGGCGGTTGTTGCTGGTTTCTTCAAATCCTTACGCGACGGAGGCTTTGGAGGCTCTTCAGCTAAACCGTGATTCCTAAATTGTGAATTTAAAGTTTTTACAGTCTTTGGTTTGTCTCCTTTTCGCACCTCAATCGATATTGAAGGTTTCTTCTTTTCAACATTTTCAGTTTTCGGTATTTTATGGGGCAATTCCTTGTTAAGTTCTGATGATTTGTTTTCACTATTGTCACTGTGCTGACGTTTTGGGATTCTTTGAAGCTTACTCGATGGCAATGGAGTAACTAAATTTAATGTTTCCTTATCTTTTTCCGCTTGAGATTTTTCAGACTCTTTTTTACGCTTCTCACGTTCTTTATCTTTATCCTTATCTTTGTCACGACTACTACTACTGCTACTGCTTGACGAATGTTTACTACTTGAACTAGATTTACTCTTATCTTTACTACTTGAACTTGAGCTTTTACGGTGTGATGATGATGAAGAAGATGAACGATCTTTGTCTCTGTGTGAAGATTTTGAACTGGAACTGCTCGATTTATGAGATGAAGAGCTTGAACTTGATTTTTTACTTTTTTCTTTCTCTTTATTAATATTATCAGATGATGATGAAGAGGAAGAAGATTTTGATTTGGACTCAACTGATGTGGAACGCACTGATTTTGAATCTTTCTCATCGACACTATTTGGACTCGTACTTCGCTTCAATGATAGCAACAATTTTCCACTCCCTTCTTTATTGCTAACTTTGTACTTGACATTTTCACTCGATTGCTTTTTAGAGGTATCATCCTCTGATTTCGGATCTGACACTACTATTTGACCATTGGACACTTCATTTTGTAACACTACTTTATTTTCTTTTCCTGCTCCATTCATTAATTTCATTTCATTTGTACCATTAATCCCATTCTGAATACCATTGACAGCTGCCAGCTGTTGTTTCTCTAAGTGAGCAATTCTTAACCATTGTTCAACTAATTTAGATGACAAAATTTTAACTGTTTGATTGGAACATGTTAACGAAAGATTCTTAATAATTTTTGGTGTATGATTAGATTTTAAACGATTTCCGTCTACTGGACAAAGCAACAGCATTTCTAAGAGTTCCTGAACGAAAGGCCAGTTATTTGAGTTGCTTCCATCTTGAAGCCAATTGTGAACTAAACTCCAACCGCCAGCAGCCATATATTGTCCCAAAAGTTCTGTCTCTGTGCACTTTAGAATTTGTATGTAAATACATTTTGAAACCAACTTTTTGCTGTATTTTTCCATTAAGCTATTTGTTAAAAAAAAATTATATCATTAGAAAAATGACATTTAAATTATTTAAAAATACAAAAAAAGATATTCGATTAGAATAAAACTCACTTTGCTAATCTGATGACTTCGTTGTTGCTTTTGATTCCTCCATTTGGAGCTAGTAGCGGTGTTAAACATAGTAATAATTGCTGTGGATCGATCCTTGGCTGTATAAAAAAATATATTAATATGCGATGTAAGTAAGTTTGTGTTTAAAAATGAATCAATTTCAATGATTATAAAAATGACAAAAATAAAATTCAGACTCACCATTTTAATACTTGTGGGAAGAAACCCAATAACGTTCTGAAAGAGAGAAAACGTTCGTAACATGAATATTGAGTTTTCTGTTTAAAAAAAATAACGATTTAAAATTCAAACACAAAAATCTAGGACATTAAAAAAATAATCTACTACGTGTTAATAAATGACTTTTCACTTTTTATGAAATAACTTTTTCTTTAAGTTTCAATAGATTGAATTATGCTAAATTCTTAACTTTCTAGTTGCATTACAATTATTACAGAACATTATATAACTTCTCGATGGTTTATATTGATTTTCTGAACTTCTGACTCATGGTTAAACTCCACGAGCAAATACGTAATAACTTTAAATGTTTACAAATGTTCATAAAATTCATACACAAACTACTTATAAATGTTCAATGTGCTGTCAAAATTGAATTAAAACACTTTTCATTAGCTTTTATTAAGATTAAAGTGATAAAAATTGAAAGAAAGTACTGAAGAAAAAAAGATGGCGGACCTTTTAAAATTTTACGATGATAATTTCCTGCTGTTCACGCTTATAGGTGAAGATATTTCATTGACAAGCAATAGAAACAAGATATCTTTATTAAATTATACGATTTGTTAAGTTTTTTAAGACTTTTATCCTGTTGAAAAATTTATTTTTAACGGAGTTAAATTCGTGTACATCTGACTTCTACTCAATTTTCTCAAAACTGAAGGAAATATCAAAATTCTCATCTCGAAAACCCCTTGTGTTTTCAATTGGCCAAATGGACAATCGATTTTGCATTCAACAACAAATTCGTTATCTTCTAAGAAATTCTAATGAATGATATGAATCATTAGCACTATCTATATTATGTAAATGAAAGTGACCTGCTACCATATGTAGCAGTAATTTAATTCAAACTTTATCAAAATTTCTTAAATTTTATTCACTAATTTTCCTATCAATTCCTTTTCTACCTTATTTTCTAACACTTTAAGGGTGATATGTTTTCCCTCACTTTTTCAATTTCAAATTATTGAATCTCAGTAAAACTTGTCTCACTTCATGTTTTGTTATGTTACTCTTCCCCTGACTCTTACAAAGTAAAATTCATCTTTGAATTCTTATCTATTTAGCATTGCTTAAAATAATAAAATTAGCTCAGTTTGTCCATCAAAAGTTGTTATCAGTTTACAAACAAACTTCAGCGTGACATCAGTCAAAGTAGAATTTGAGTGACTTTAAATAATTATTGAATAGTTATCGGATGTTAGCGCTTGCGCTTTCTTTAATCCTGTGCCTGCCTACATGAAAACATTCCTTTTCTGCAAATTATATTCCAAATTGATTTTCTATTAATATTCATTCAAGAATGGTTGTGAATTCTTATTAAAAATTTATAAATTGAGTGATAGACAAGTGAACAATAATATAAAAGAATTTATAACGACATGAGTAATTTGGACAAGGATGACGATGATAAAGAGAAGAAGAACAAGGAAAAGGCTAAGAAAGTAAATTTAATTGAAAGATTTGTCGAATATTTTAAGGTTTCAATGGGAAATTTTTTATTTCTTAAATTTCTTCAACAGCAAAAAAGTTCATCAGACTTTAAATTGTTGTTAATTGCTGTGTTCTTCTGGGTGTTCACTCCGAAAAGATAAATTCAATGGTAGTTCTTATGTAGACATTAATTGATCCAACATAGAAATCCCATATAATTTTCTTAGTCAATGTGATATTTTTTGAGAAAGAAAAAACATTTTTTATGTTGTCCACAGAAATTTAATTCTTTATTGATTGTTATTTGAGAATATATTGAGTGTTATTAAGTGTTAAAAAAGAAAGTATAAAAGTAAATAAACACACCACGATGGGGTCTTATCATTCAACATCGTCTCACACGTCTGCCGACGGTTCCCGTGATAATCTTGACTCAACTTCCCCCAGACCAAGAAGACCTAAAAAAATCATTGACAAATTTCGTAGTCGACAGTCTTCGAGATCAGAATTAAGTGTTCAACAACAGACAATTGCCGTTGATCCAAAAAATATTGAAGATGCGCAGACTCTTGAAATCCAAAACAAGGATTATAATTTATCAGCTGATGTTGGTGAGTATAAACAAAGCGACATGCTTTTTAATCCTCTCATTATTTTTTTGTTCTCTCTTTACTGTTCTAAAGAACAAAACGACTCTACATTGAGAAGCAAGAAGGAAGAAGATGAAGAATCAGCGAAAAATATGGAAAAATCAAACTTAACACTTTCAAAGTCAAAACCAGTTTCAAACGACGACCGGCTTGTTACATGCGAGTCAACAACACATACCAACAAACAAGACGGTGAAGCAGAATCAACAAAGCACAACGCAGACAAAGCCGTCAGTTGTAATTCAACCGCGACCAACGAAGCATCGAATCGAGCAGATTTTCAGCAACAATTCGACATTAGTTTTGATAAAAATCATTTCGGTGAACAAATTATTAATGAAGATTATCAACTAGAACTTAGCAGTGAAGATTCCGAGAATCAAAAAAGCTCTGAGATTAGAACAAATCGAGGTAAATTAAGTCTCCCGATCTTCCATCTTGTCTTTACTTATTGTTCTACATACGTGTTCAATTCTTTTCGCTTCTCGCGTTCGCCTATTGCTAACATCCAAGATCATGGTTCAAGAACCTGTTTATGGTTCTTTTTCCCTCGTCTTCCTTCAGTTTGATGTTTAATTTTGAAAGTGGGTCACTACATATTGGATGCTGATCATTAACACTTAAATAAAAGCATCTCCCGGTTACATCACAATTATGTATCTCAAGCCCTTTAAAAGTTTATAAGTATAAGTAGTGTAATGTGTTTGATCAAATATGGAAATGAGAAAGTGAAAACATTTTGTTTTCTTATGTCCAACTTTTTTGATGATTACGCGTGCCGTGCTTTTGCCGCACGGTGTCGCAAAGCCAAATATTTAAGAGAGAAAATGAATGTTTTTTTAGTGTGATGCAATTTTATGGTTGTCATTAAACAATTCGTGAAAAGAGAGATTCGAATTGATATTTTTGTTTTGACTTTTTGACTCAATCTTTGTGTATTATCGCAGCCATCTCAACAAGTGAACATATTGATGTGAAACGTGACGATTTGAAAGCATTTAACTTAACAATAACAAAATTAGAGCAACTCGAATTAATCGAGGCAGATGAAACGATTCGAAAGGTGAAAAATGATCAATTAGAATTTCAAAATAAAGAAACGGATATCAGAAATATGCCGATCGTTAAGAAGAATGAACAGGAGAATGGAGAGGACAAAGGAATGTTCAGCGTCTCGCGTGTCAAGAAAGTGGAATTGCCTGAGATTTCTCTCTCGAATGACATTTGTGCAACACGTAAGTCCGTTAGAATATTACATTCTTCAAACACTACAATTTATTACATTTCATGACCTTATGAGTGCTTTAATTAAAATCAACTCTCTTGTAATTTATGCAGCGGAACAACAAACCGTAACACAATCAATTGTGTCGGGAAGTGGTAGCACGATAAAATCCAATGGCAGTGCCACTTCTAGTAATGGTGGAAAATTCCTACAACATATCATTGCATTAACAACATCAGGAAAAAACGACAGCAATGTCGGGAAGTCTCCAAAGACACAACAATCAAACTTTATGCCTGATAAATTGCACTTTTCTGCATACGAGAAATTCGAAGGTAAGACTTGTTCGTTATCTGGGCGGTTGTTGAAAGAACAATACTTGCTTCTGTCGTAAAACAGAAAACAAAAACTTAATTAAATAATACAAGTTGATATTCAAGTCATAAAAATTGTGAATTACTTAGAATTCGCCTTAACCGCAGGGTTGTTTAATTATTTCTTTTATACTTGAATTCAATTGAATTGACATAAAGTTTCCTTTGAAATTGAAGAAATGATAAATTTTACAAACATCAATGGTTGTCTTTCTTCGTAACGAAACAAAAACCAATCAATTTTGTAATCATCTATGTCATGATAAAAAGAACAACAATTTCGACTACTCTGCAATGTAATCGGCTAAAATGATAAAATGATTTTATGAAACCCTGAAAGCGATATTAATGTGAACGTCACTCATGTCAATAGATAAGAACGTGGGTGTAGAAAATGTTTAAGAAGCAAAGGTAGTCGACAGTTGCAAGTTGAATTTTAAAACGAACACACATGCTTCAAATTTCAAACGATCACGATGAGACTTATTTGATATTAAATTCAGTGATGACACTGAGACATTCACGAAAACGCGATAAAATTTACTTGAAGAAGTTAAATTATCTGCGGAACTTTCTAAACTTATTACAACTTTATCGTGTTTATCTCATTTGGAAATGTCGAAAACGCTTGCGAAAGTTAAAATCTCTCGAATGGCAATTTCGGCAATCGATAACATGGAAACGTGCTAAGTTTGACTTTGATTGGCTAGCAAAGTTATCTTATCGTATTAACACTTGCACAACAGTTATATTCCGCTTCCACAACTGTCAGCTGATCATGACGAGCTTTATCAATTCACCAAATTTGTTTTCATTCAACATCGCGGAATGTGAAAAAATTTTTCATATTTATTTCGGGCGCGAAATAATGAAAAATATTTTGTTAACAGTTTGTAAACGTGATGATGAATTAATTAATGAATGTGAGAATTTGAAGGAAAATAATTTTAAGCTTTGAATTAATCTTCTGAACTGTAAATCAAAAATTAATTAAATTTGTTTTTCATAGGTCAAATGTTAATGAATTGGTTTGGTCAGTCAATACAATCAATAACTGACACAATGACCATCACAATGAGTGAAAATGATTTAAACACCTTGACTCTTCATTATTGCGCTAACTTGCTGTCGGCTGGCGTTATTAAACAATTGGATTCAAGCTCATCAAGTGCTGATACTTTCAAAGTAAGTCGAAACTTGTCCCAAGCCCTGATTTGAGAATAATGAACATCTGTGGCTTACCTTTGTTAAGAACTACAATCAAGATAATTATGCATTATTCAAATATTTTTAGCCTAATTTAATGTATCAATGGACACGCAAGGAGCCGACATTAGCGCCATCAACACCAGGAAAAATCGATGCAAGCATTGTTTGGCCTCATTCATCAGACAAGAAAACAAGTCCAAAGTCACGCGAAGGCGAATCAAAAATTCCTAAACTAATGTCATCAACACCAAAAGCTCGCATTCAAATTGTTAGCAGTTTGCTGACAATGAATGATCAAAAAGTTCCCAATGGAACTGAAGCTGATAAAATCAACGAATTGAAGGCAAAACTTGCAAAATGTGAAACAATCCCGGAGATGTTTTCAATCATCAGAAGTTTCATAAGTGAATGTACAACTTACAGCAGCATGCACTCGTCAGAATCAAGTTCAAATAGCGGCGTCTTCTCCAACTCAATACTCAACGGAACTGAAGCGACACTCTTCGATCAAAATGCAGACACCACAGTGTTCAGTGTGCTACCAAATCGTAGAGAATCTTTGAGTCCATCGAAAGTTCAAACAACACCGAAAGGAAAGAATGTGAAATCAAGAACAACGCCAAGCACTCCGACAGGTTCAACGACACGTTTAGATCCAAAAAGATTTCGTCGAAATATGTCAGCAGATTCTGTTAACAACACTTTGACACAAACAAAATCGGCTGATGCTGTGAATGGAAGTGGATGTAAACGATGCATTCAGATGTTGACATCGCCAGCTCGAACCAACATTAAGCGAATGGTTGATAAAGCGACGGTTATGGATGTTGAGCCAATAAGTTTATTAAAAACACCAGAAATGATATCGATTGAGACACAGACTGACAAAGAAGAGAAATGTGTTGTTGATGTTGCTTCGAATTCGTCTCCGATAACAAACATGCCCCCTCCACCTCCACCACCATGTGCACCGAAACCTCCAGGTAAGTCATCTGAAGCGATGTGAATTTTCTGAATTAATTTTCTTTCTGTTTTTTTAGGGCCACCCCCACCACCAATGCCAGGAATCGGATCAATGCCATCATCATCAAATCCTCCTCCACCCGCACCTTTCTTATCTCATGGGATGCCAATGCCACTTCCCCCTCCAATTGCTTTAAATTCAGGACCAGGTAAATCTCAATCGCAAACTCCATCAAACACATCAACGTCGGCAGTTATTGGAAAGCCCAAACCCTTGCCTTTGCCAGCTTCAGAGTTTTACCTTACGAATAGTGAGTCAATCAAACACCCGATGATCTTCTTCTTTTGTATTTTTTTCTTCTCGTAATTCTCTCTCAAGTTTCTTGTTTTATTTTCTTATCTTTTTTATTTATTGTGGACACAAGTTTGAGATGATTTTTCTTCTAGTTATGTAGATAGCTTAGAAATGATTTCATTTTCTTTTTTGTAGATAGTTTTAGCGTCTCTTTTCGTAGATATTTTGTTTTATTTATTTTAATAATTTTGCAATGAATCAGGGCTTTGTTCCTGGAACGAAAATTCCTCTGTTCCTTTACTGTTGTGTTCCGGAACAAGAAATTTTCCACTGTGTTCCTTTTCACTGTGCCGGAATAGAATAGGAACAAAGGAAAAACTTATTCCGGGAATGAAGCCCTGCAATGAAGAATTTTCTCATCATTGCAATATTGATTGGTGCATTGGTTCATTTCATTTCATTTAAGTAGTTATGAAGTTGATTTTCATCGAAAATATTTGAAAATAATTATGAATTTAAATAAACTTTAGCACTTCGTAAGAATGCAGTGAATCCTCCAAAGCCAATGAAGCCACTTTATTGGACGAGAATTGTAGCACCGATAAAATCTGTTGACTCAACAGATGGAAGTGCAACATCATCGCCAGACACTCCTGAGGAGAAGGAAAGTGATGAAGAAGAGTTGTGGAAGGAAATTGATGAAACAAAATTAGACAATCTTGACGAATTTACAGAATTATTTTCACGACAAGGAGTTGTGCCTAAAGCTAAAGTGACAGTGTCATTGCCGAAGATCAAAGCGATTAAAGTTCTCGACAGTAAACGTTCACAAAATGTTGGGATATTTGTTAGGAGCATGCACTTTGATTTTGGTGAGATTGAACATGCGATTTATCATTGCGATACTTCCGTTGTGAGTCTTGAGACACTTCAACACATCATGGAAATTAAAGCAAATAATGAAGAACTGACAATGATAAAAGAAGCGATTTCAAGTCATGCTGATGGTTCGCCACCTTTGGATGCACCGGAAAACTTTCTTCTTAGAATTTCTCAAGTTTCATCATCAGCAGATCGCATCACGTGCATCGTCTTTCAAGCTGAATTTGATGAACAATGCACGATATTGTCGAGAAAAGTGAAGACAATGAAAGATCTCTGTGAGTTTCTTCTCGAAAATGAAGGATTGAAGGAAGTTTTCTCGATAATTCTCACACTTGGCAACTTTATGAACGGTGGAAATCGTCAAAGGGGGCAAGCTGATGGTTTTGGACTTGAAATTCTAGGGAAACTTAAAGATGTTAAATCGAAGGATCCAAAAATTACTCTCCTGCATTTCATTGTTAAAACTTGCATTGAACGTTCTCGTAAGAATGGATGTGCAATTCATGATCTCGTCTTACCAATTCCTGATCCAAATGATGTTGATAAAAGCTTAGCAATTGATTTCGAGGAATGTAAACAACAATTAAATGCTTTGAAAACAAAACTCCAAGGTAAAGAAAGATTATTTTTTTGTTTCTAATAATTTTCAATTTCCTTTTTAAGAATGTAAAAAAACTGCTGAGAAAGTAATTGCTGAGTCTTCAGAAGATTGCGTGCAACCTTTTAAAGAGAAAATGGAACAATTTCAAGAGCTGGCGATAAAGAAAATTGAAAATCGTTTCATGAAGTTGAGTGAATGTCAAATTCTTTTCATCAAGACGGTAAAATTCTACAAATTTACACCAAAGAAGGGGACGATCGAAGAAACGGCACCAGCACAGTTCTTCGAATATTGGAAGTCATTCACAAGTGACTTTAATGATATCTTTAAGAAGGAACTTATTATGCTACAAAATGAAATGTGAATAACTTGTGGCTATTTAATTAACTCAAACTAATTTGATTTTTTCTTTCTCAGAGCAAAAAAAGCCCGTCGTCAAGTGACAAAACCACAATCAAGGCCAACATCAGGTGAAAACAATTTGAAAGCTCGTATCAATCGCTTGAAAAACCGCAACAACTGAAACTTTATAAAATTTGAACATTTTTGTGGTCACGCAATTTGGTTCGATGAAAACTTTTTTGTGCTTTTAAATCAACTCAAAAATTATTGTTTTATCTACATGTTTTTAAGAACAAAATCCTGATGATTCTTCTCAATCTTATTTAAGTACGTTTAGATTTAGATTAGTTACCCTCACAACTGAGTTAAAATCTCAGTTCGCCTTCCAACAGCAACAACATGATGTACACGATATTTGAAAAGTAAGCGATTATCATCGATTCCAAGACAGATCAAAACCAATAAGAAAATATATTTTGGAAGTAATTTATACAGATATAAAAATAATAAAAGAAAAGTTGTAAACTTTCACACAATCGTATCAATCAAAAATATTTAATTACACGAGCTTAGATACTTAATGAAAGAAAATAAAATAAATTGGGATAGAAAATACTTCAAGTGTTTTATTTTCCTTGTTTCATTTCAGAGATTTAATTAAAGTTAAACTCGTTATGATAAAAATGAGATTAAATTTATACAATTCATACTGATTGAAGTGTTGAAGCGTGTTTGATGATGCCACAACTTCGTTAATCTTAAAATGGAAAACGAAAAACTTTTCACTTCAATTCGTTTTCAAGATTTCTGGAAATATAAAAATATTAATCTGAAATATATTTAGAACGAAAAAGCTTCTGAAAATATAACATCAAGGTGAATAAATGTCATAAATTATTGATTAGCTTTGATTTTATTGCTTTTCGTTAGATATGTTCATGCATTGATGGAAGGAAAATTAAATGAAATTTCTCTATTTAATGGAGATTTCATGCATTTCATGTACACACAAATGATGATGAAATTTTCCTTGACATGACTTTAGGCTGTTGCTTCAGTTACAAACTCTGCTCTGAATTTCGATACTTACACACAAGCTGATTCTTTTGAATTAACTCGCTAACTAGGTCGACGTTAAGTGGATGAAAAATGTATTTATGATGATGAAGCTTTTATGACAACATTTTTCCAATATATTCAAACAAATTAAATTAATTTTTTCTTTAATTCAATACGGTTTTATTTCATCTTGGTTAATACCATTAATTTACTTTTTACCGGTGATTTGCTCAAGGTCATTAATTAAACGTCATTAAAATGCTTTTCTTTAATCTTTTTAATTTGGTTTTTAGTGGAATGTTTAATGTTCAGTTTCTCTTTCAATTCAATTCATGTCGACATATAAAAATATATTTATTTCCTTTTTTTTGTGTTAGATAATGGTTTCATTTTTTTTTGTTTGCGTGCAAAGGAATTAAGGACAACAACTTCTTGTTAATTACACACAATTTGTTTGCAAAGACATATTAAATGCTTCTTAAAATTACCAAGTGATGATTCTTCTGTTTTGATAGAGAGAAAATAATTAAAGTCATGTAGAAGGATTTAAGTCATGCACTTTTGAAAGCTTTCAAAGCTTATAATGTTCATGTTTTGTTTCTTTAAAAACTTCAGAGCTTTGAATAAGTATTTTTAGAACTCTTGTGAAACTTTAAAAGCTTCATATATGAAAGTACATTATTTAAAATTTAATTTCTATTTTTTTTATAAGTTTTAATAAAAACAGTTTTGAGAATTATAAAATCATGAATTGATTCTCTTCTTTTTATATAATTTTTATTATTAGAGCCTTAGGTTCTTACGTAATCAAAAATTCGTAAAATTTTGTATGTATGTCTATGGACATTAAGATGCCTCTGCTCTATCTTTTATATCTTTCATTCGATAAGTTTACAAATGTTTTACTTGAGGGGATGGGGGAGTAAAAGGAGAGGCTTCAAATTTGATTAAAGTTCACTATGTTTCTTGTTGTGCAATTCAAATGAATAATCTCATCCTTGTGTAGATACTTAGGTAGGTTGTCATGTTATTTGTTATTTAGTAAAGTCTACCTCGTTATTTTAGAGACATGTTGCGCAACATTAGATTTTGTTCATCTTATGTCACAAATATATTTTCTAAATTTAGCCCCTTACTGGTGTTCATATTTAATGAATTTCACCTTACGGCTTCCAAAACACGAATGTTTCTAAGATACGCAAAATAAGAAAAAGAAAGAAAATGGAAAGAACATAAAAGTTTTGTTCTCACATTGACCCGTTTCAAGTAACTCTCAAAAAATGCTTATAAAATGACGCAAGCTGTTCCATGTAGGACTTCATTGACAAACATTGGAGTGCCTGTTAAGTTAACAAAAGACGATTTATTACACAATTAATAATAATTAGCATAATTCACAGTACCATAATTTATGGCTCCATTACCTGCTCCAAGTCCACCGTCAGTTTTCTCATTTTCATTCTGGTCGAATTCACAATCAAAATAGCGCGATTGGCAATCAACGCAGCTGGAGATTGATGGGAAGAGAATGAAAATTAAATTTTCTAAATTTCAATTGAATTATTTATGCTAGCATACCGACAAGTATCTGTCATTTTACATTGAATTCCACATTGTTTGGCCACTGCTTTGTAAAGCTCTTTGCTGGATTTGTAAAGGATTTCAGGTCCCTTTACTTCCGTATAGTTCATTTGCTGTTGACCACCGCCATCGTCTTCGTTGCAATATTGATTCGAATAGTCAGAATCTTGATATTGATTTTGGCATTCGGTCGTGTAATCTTCACTGCAGTTGTTATAGTTCTCCGAACAATTCTCATTATTCTCCAAACTACAACGTTCCGCCAAATCGTTCTCCAGGCAACGTTCATCGTATTCACCTGCAAAAATGTTCGATGTTAAGATGGCGAAAAGTTCAAGACGAGTTCATTCATCGTCGTCGAATCGATTTTCTTTTTCACTCTTTCATATTTTCTCACCGTAATTCTCATTATTGTTTCCCCCGACCTCGTTATTTATGCAGTTACAAGAGCCATGATTGCACTGATCCGTACACTCACTACCATCAATTAGCAGATTTTCTCGTGCAGGCGACACGATGCTTTGGGCGCTGTTCGTCTTAAACTCATTCATTTCGTTCAGCAAATTATTATTGCTGGCGTGGGATGTATTGTAAAAGCTTTCTACCAACAGGTTTGTATGTATCGTCGTTTGTATCGAGTTGTTTTCTTTATCTAGAGCCAGTAAATGATTCTGTTGTTGAAATGGAAAACGTTGTACGGAAATTAATTTGGAATGAAAAACAATTTTCCATTAAGATTTTTTAATTGACTTTTGACATTTTTTTGGCTTACCTCTTTCATCACCGCTTCGTAGCTGGGCGGTGGACTTATCGGTATATCTGACAGTTGTGGACTTGAATATCCTGAATGATGTTCACGAACAAAGACATAAAATTTATTAGAAAATGTAAACACAATTTTAGTCATCAATTTTGATCATCAATATCATGACAACATTTGAAAGCAGACGGCTTCAACAAAATTATAATAATAATCATAAAAATAATAATAATAATGTTAATAATGATAACATCGTTAGATAAATTTATTTTATTTGTTGCTTTTTTATTTGTTTTTTATCCGATATGCTTGTGTCAGTGATTCATAAGCTTTGAACTATGACACTGAAAGCATAAAAATTCATGTTGAGTAAGAAAATATTTTAAAAAATCTTATCGCGTTTTGTTTCTCTTCTCACTTTTTACTTTACATATAAGAAAAGAAACAAAATGTTCCTTTGAATCAAAATATGTATGAATCACTGACTTAAGAAATGAACATTCATAAACTTTATGTGAACATACACAAAAGTGGTGTTTCACGAGAACAACAAATAGAATTTCTTTCTTATATTTTGATAACAGGAGGGTGTATGAGAGATAAGATGAATAAATATTTAAGAAAATAAAAGAGGAAGAAGAATTCAAGAAAGAAAAACAAAATCATAAACGACAACAGCATACGACAGCATGACAACATGAAGTACAAAACATTCATTTATGATAACTTAGTAAGAGTTGTTTGTTGCGAGAGAAGAAGGGACAAAAAACAAAAGGGAAAATCTCGTATTACAGAAAACCGTCGCCGTTGAGAGACTTGTTTGCTTAAGTTTTCAACTTTCCTAGGCCTTTTTTTTCTTTTTTGCATCTCCCCCCTTTTTATTTTGCTGACACACGAAAAGCAATTGTGTATTCATCAATTTTCTGTCTTTTGTGTGGATGTAGAGCTTCAATGCTGATGGATCTCCATGGTAATTTTTTTTATAAGTATATCCTTTTGCAAAGATTTGCTTTGTACGACATCAAAAAACAGTTTAAACATCAAGAAGCTTTTTGTTATGAGTTGTACCATAATTTTAATCTTCTTGTATTATTATTCCAAAAGCGCTTTCATAATCTTCTTTCTCCTTTAATAAGACATCATTTGTCGATGGATGAAGGGAATTTTTATAAAAGATTCATGACAATTTTTATGCCATTGCTTTAATCCAAGATTGATTAGTCGATAAGGAATTCAATTCGACAATTCAGTGTGAAAAATGGGAAAGAAATATCTCCGATGCTTCCGAAGAATATATTTTGAAGTCTCTTCGGAGAAATGAAATTCAAACAAGAATCTAGTAAAGAAGGGAAAGCGATGAAAACTCAAAGGGAGAAATCTACTCTCGATACCATTCACGAAATTCTTCTTTTGCTTTTAGATATCTGATAATAGTATCGTTTGATAACAAAGCGAATGAAATATAAAGAGCTTCTATTATTCAAAAGTCTTTTAATCAACTGCTTCGTTTTTTGAAAAGCACTTTAATTTCAATTTCAAATAGCAATTTCCTTTCAATTTACTTAATAAATCCTAAAAAATTGTAAAGCTTTTTTGAGATTTTCTCAAGATTTTTCTCCTTTGAATAGTGACATGGAAGGAGAACACAATTGACCCATTTTAGAAAAGGTTGAAGAGAGATTAAATAATAAAGAAGCAGAACTTAAGTCTCTGTTACATTGAAAAGAACTTTCAATGTCAAAGTTCTATCAATCTTCAATTTATAAGTGTGAAAATATCGCAAACTCAGATTCATAAATCATTCCAATTCCTTTTCTAATTAACAAAGATATCGAACAAATGAACGTGAAGCAATCTCTTAATTCCACTTCTGACATTTCATTCATTTTGCCGCAATAAAAGAAAACCTTCAAAGCAATTTCGTTTCATTTCAAATTTGTTAATAGTACAAATTTGAATACATTTCTTATATTTAAAAATGAAATATTTTTTAATTGGTTGCCCAACTGTAAGGATACTTGAAGGTTGAAGTGTAAAGCTTAATTAATTTTTATCGACTCTTATTTTCATGCCCTTTTTTTTCGTTTCATCAAATCATCAGAAAAGATTCCTTTTAATAACCCGACATCATTATGAAAACGGAAGCTTTTGAAATGAGAAAACATATAACAATAGAGGAAGAAAAACGTTTTCCCCATTACAATGCGAAGAATGTTAAATATAAGAGAGCGAAAAAAAAGGAAAGAAAAAAGATTTTCTTTTTCATCTACTTCATGAGAAAGCACGGGAAGCGGGAAAATAAATTGGACGGAGGTGAGTAAGTGGAATTAAACTTTTTTTTCATCGAACATTCCCTTTGAACTTCAAGACAAAGCATAATGTTAAGAGAAAGGAAAAAACTTTTAGAAACTATAGTAACTGTAAATAATTTGAATAAATATTTGGGACATCCGACTGGGTATGAGAAATTATAATATAAGTGAAGAATAAATATTCACAGTTTAGCGAGAAACAAATAAGGAGAAAAAGTGGTGGAAACATGAACAAAAATTCCTTGAGAGATTTAACAAAATTATAAAATTTTGACTTCTGACACCAAACTTGCTGAAGCAACATAAAAATAAATTAAAAACTGAATGTGAAGATGTCGTTGAACGAAACATGAAAAGGAAATAAGTTAATGAAAAGACAGATAGATTAAGTTTACCTATTTGATCGACAGTAGAGCCAGATGAAAGTAAAGCACGCTGATCGTTATTAAGAGACATTAAACTACTATTTTCGCTATTCTGATCAGACTCGTCGACGTTAAGGTAATGGGCAGATGATGGCGTCATTACAGTCGTTAACTTGTTTAGACTTGGCGTTGTTATGACTAAGTTAACCGGCTGATCGGGCTCAGTTTCTTGCGATGTGCTTCGCGAGGTGCTGCCTTGATTCATTCGAAACAGCTTAAAAGGCGCCATAATGCGAAAGAAAGGCCTAGCTTTTCGATTGACTAATGTTTTGGTCTTTAAATCACCCGACTTTTGATCCAATTTCAAATAGTTTTGGCGCTTAATGTTTAAGTCTTTTCTTAGATCGTTTTACGGTTGTAAATAATTAATGGTAATTTGTCTAGCTTCTCTTTGTCTATTTAAAACTTTTGAATGCTCTCAGTACGCGAATAACTCTACGTGCTAAATGTTTGTGCTTTTAGTTCTGAAATAAAAGTTTTGTTTCTTTTTTCATTTATCACAGTAAATATCAAATTTGAAAGTTAGTTTTAATTTCTTCCAATATCAACATATAAGCAAATACCTAACATCAGAAGGTCAAACATAAAACTAAACCACATATTAGAATAGCAATAAACCGATGCAATGCAAAAGTCTGAGTTTGATAGCAAAATTTGCACAGATTTCTAATCATTTCGTAATGAAATGAAATGTTCATGCGTTCTGTAAAAAACTACGCAAATAAGTTAAACAAAATGCAATGTTAATTTTTTTTGTTTTGTCTTCTTATCGTCAGTTGAATTCCTGAAAGCAAATTAATCAAAGTTAATTGGACTTTCCCCCATCCATCATGGGTTATTCCAGAGGGAAAATATCATTCAAAAAAAAGTTCAACTTAAACATGAAATGAAGCAAAAATATTTTTTCAGGTTTCATGCAAACAAATAGCTTGATGTAATATTTAAGATTGATTTGTTTACTTTTGAAAGCTTGGCGAAAGCTCGGGAACTCTTCTATATTAAATGAAGAATTTCTTTTGAAGTCAAACAATGAAAAATGAGTTTGTGAGTTTAGCGTTTTGTATTTTATTGTGGATATGTTGTCAGTTTCGTAACTAAATGAATTTCGTTTTTTGTCTTATTTTGACGTACAAAAATTGACTTGAATCAAAAGCTACGTAAATGTAATGTTACGATTAGACTTTACTGCATTAACTTAGCTTTTCACATGTGCGTGTTAGAAAGTATTTTGCAAAGAAAATAAAAATTGAATGTTTTGTTCCATATGTTGATGATTGAGTTATCTTCACATAATTTAATGTTTCATAATTCAGGAATTGAAGTCAATTTTTCCAACCATTTAAAGTTAATTTAATTAAAGTTCAATAACGTAAACGTTAGATAAACTTCACTATATCGAAGGTTTTTATTTCTGGAAAGATTTTCTAGAATATTTACGGAAAAACCAAACATTTTTCCACAATCATCGAACACAGTCTCCATGTACATATGAAGGTTAAAATAGAATGAGAAAAGGTTGTGGTGTCGGTTTGTGGCATGAAATGAAAAATCATTTTCCTTCTCTAAATTGATTGGAGATTGTGTTATAAATTTGTTGTTCATAGCTTTTGGACAGATATGGGAAGCAAACGATAGAAATAGTTTCATTCATTTGACCTGAGTTATGCAAATTTCTTTTTCACTAGGTTTAGTTATGGAAAAACTTTAGTGGGACGTTTTTTATGGGAATCGCATGGAAAAAAAAGGTTTGAACCTTTTGAATTTCAATTTTAGAGGGAAAGTTGGGAAAACTGCCTCATTTTCTCTTAACTAAATTCATCCACGCATGTAGGGATTTAGTGGGTGTATGAGGAAATAATTTATGGTTGCTTTGAAAATGAAAAGAAAAGGTGAACGAGTTGTAAACAGACAGAGGAAATTCATTGAGTGGCTGAATAAATTGGGAAGCAACAACTTTGATGTTGATATCAAATCTCTTCGTATGCCGGAAAAAAAATCTAAGCTTTAAAAGAATCTCATTTGCATAAATTCAACATTTTAGTATTTTTTATTTTTTCTTCAACATTTGAAAACCTTTTTCAAGAAACTCGAAACTTTCTCTGATTGCAATGATGTCACTTTTATTTGGTTTTATCATTATAAGGAAATCTTTTGAGGATTTTATTCCTAGTGAAAGTATATACTTTCTTAATTAGAATTCATCTAAGTAAGGTCAAGGAAAGTTTTCTTTCCCTTTTTTCAGGATGGAGATGAAGAATGTGATAAGAATTTCGATGCCAATGCTAACCCAAAAAATCTGCTGAATATTAATGTGAAACCTTCAATCATCGTTCTTAATGAAGTTTGCGATAATCATATTCGAGGATGTTGAAGAAAAAGTAAAATTCGAGTAATAATGAAATTATTCAAATGTTTAAATTTCCACATGTCTTAAGGAAAAATAAAAGAAATTGCGCATTAATATTAATTGGATACTTAGACATAAATCATCTTCCCGTCCCATCGGACACCAGACTTAAAATAATTTGAAAGTTTATTCTGAAAAAAAAATTAGAGAGATATGAAAGCTTTCTTCTGGTAAGGTAATGTGAACAACCGCCATAAATCTTTCAATGGGATATCTTGTCTCAAATACGTGATGTTTTTTCTACAGTTAGACATGAATGTCAAGCTCATGCGAACTTCTCGTCTTATTTCAAAAAAAGAAAGATGATTTTATGAAAACAAAGTTAAATTTGATGTTTCATTGGACGTTTCGATTTTTCTTTCGTTTTCTATAAGATGATTGACATTGGGAGCTTTGGTTCTTTTATTCAGTACTCTAGAGTCGGGTTGGATTTTTATTTTATGAAAAAAATGTCTTCAAATTTCAATAGCTAGTAAACAACAATTCCAATTCAATTACAATGAAAATATTTGAAAATCTAAATCAACTTTTACTTTCTTATCAGACCAAAAATTTACTTCACATTTTCATTGGTTGACATTTAACGTGACTCTTTTTTTTTTGTAAAAGGAAAGGAAATAAAAGAGTAAGAAAAGAGAAAAAAGGAAAATTCGTGTCGAGTCTTCATCAAATGAGATCATGTGGAAAAATCAATAGAAGAAAATATTTTATTTGCTATCCCGCGTCTTTTCTGTTCCTTTATCGAGTAAAAAAAGTGGAAAAATTCATTCTGTTTATTTGCTTGGAAGATAAATAAATTTTCATTGCTTCATCTTTGTCGCTTGTTCTGTTCATCGTTCGTTTTCAAGAACACCGCTTTGACTCTTGTCTCCATCAATTCGAAATAAGATTTACAACTTCATTGATGTTTACATCAGACTTTATCTCAACTTCTAAGAAATTTTCGCCCCTAAAGCAATTTTATTTTGCGTTTTTTTGCTTAGCAATGAGAGACGACGACTTGAATTTTTTTTCTTACTTTTGAAATTTCTTTGGAAATGTTCGTAAATTATTTACTTCAACCGGAAAGAAAAGAATTTGGCTGTTGTTCGCGTTCGGCGTGCATGTTTTGGCATTAATAATTTCAAATTATCCATTTTCACGCAGTTATTGTTTGTTAAAGAAACAACAAAACGAAAAGAATTGGATGGAAAGGGCGAATTATTTACCATAAATGATGATACGACAAAAAGAAGAAACAACAGAAAAATGCGAAAGCTCAAAATGGGAGTGTTGATGAAATTCAATAGCAAAGAACGAATAGATTGAAGCATAATTTTCGTGGGAATCTTTAGCCATATTTTTCCTGAAACTTTCCCTGACTCTTATTTTCCTTGCTTTTTGATTTCCACAGCTCTTTCGCTCATATGATAACTAAACAAAGCTCTAAGTTTAATGCGATATCAAATGACCATGAAGCGCTTTTCTTTCTTTTTTTTTCTCTTTTTATTGTCGACGCTTGTGGGATTTGTGTGTTCATGTAAATGGAGTGTGAGTGTTTTGCCAAGGCTCTCGCATTTCATTCTGATTAAAATAAATTTCTACGCATATCACTGACAATTGAAAATTTGATGGAATCAATTCAATTTACTTTTTATTTAATTACTTTTGAGATGTTTATTTTCATTTATGATTTAATACTCACAATTCCTGTTATTTTTCTCTCTTTCAATAAGTAGATAAAAATGAAAAGAGAAAGCTTTTATGTGTTTGTAAATATTTTTTCACAAAATTTTCCACCAGTTTTCTGGAGTTTTTTCAACTGTTTACTTCAAACACTTGTTCACTTTTGAAACGATGATTAACTTTTGAAGTTTTCACGACTATTTCAATTTAAAACAAACTTAATTTCAGAATTGAAATTTTCTTTTAAAAAAATTTCCTGATGAGCGTGAAAATGTTCGAACTTGTTTTGTGAAAGTATCGAGGCGAACAAAAATCAAACTGGAAATCTTGGTGTGTTGTGACTTGAAACGGGATGTCATGGATTTTCCAATAATGTTTCATGAATGAATTTCGATTGTGTTAGTTGGGGAAATTCCAGTGAATAAAACAGTGAAAGCTTTCTATGACGATGTTGTGCGAAGATATTCCCCACGACTCTTGACTATACATTGACTGAATGTTCATTTGGTCTGTTTAACAACACAGTGATAATTTTATTTAGCCTTCCAAAGCATGCGCAAAACTAAATAAAAGTGTTGTTGGCAAGAAAAATCCCAAAACGAAAATTCCTTTATTGACTCACAAACATTAATTTTGTTTTCGTTGTTTTATGTTTCACTGCTAGCAAAGACGAGCTAAAAAGTATTAAAGAAGAAAATTCTGTATTTCTTCTTAGTAACGCGCTTATATCTTTTATCAGATTAAGCCAGTGAAGGGGAAGAAAAGCGTTGTGGTTTATGTGTTCATCAACCACCAACCAAGCTTTCATGGAGTCATAAAAAAGCTCTTCGTCTCTACAACATCATTAAATGAAATGAAAAAATATTTTTCTGAGAAAAGCTTTCAAGGTCGTTTAATGTTTTGATGTCACTTTCTCGATTGAATCTGTTTTTTTTTTTCTCTTTCTCCGCTTTTCCGGGGCTCAGGTGAAAGTCATGTATGAAATGATATATGATCCGTTTAATGGAGCTTTTATTATCAGTGAAATTTTTTTTCTCTTCTAACTTTTCATTGTTGAGTAAGAAGATACAGAAAACATTCCTGTCCACTTTTGTTTTGGCATAAATTTGAAAAAAGTTTTTACTTATGGCACGATTAAAATTCTTGAGTTTAACATTATAAGCGATGAAGACAAAACAAGATAAATTATGTTAAGAAATTGTGATTAAAGCTCATGTCGTTATAAGCGATGTCGGTGAAGGGTGATGTGGGTAGATTTTGCTCGCCGCCCTGCATTTGACAACATTCACATAGTGTCTCCGTATGAATTAAATAACAGTTTGTGATGTAATGATCAGGATCATTAAGTTCAGATGAATAAGATTCGGAATCACTTCCAGCATCGTCACTTGAGTCATCAGTGTCTTCAATCTGCTCCGTGGTATCGTCACAATAATCAAAGTAATGACTTTGACACTCACAACATCGACACGATGAACTCAATGAACAGTCAATCCCCAAAAGCTTGGCCGCCTCTCGATACATTTCCTTTGTCGACAGTGACTTTTTTGCGCTGAGAAATTTGCTACTGAAGACAAGAAGATTAAATGTCAGATTGAAGAAAGAATGTCGAAAAAGAATTATTGTGACTAACCATTTTTGGGTGATATCTGTTGGCTTCTTGACTTTTGACGTCGTCGTGTCCGCAAAAATGTTGAACCACTTGAGACGTTTAATGAATAAATTAATCTTAAGCAAAGATTTTCTCGTCCTATCATTGAATGTCTCCTTGCTTCTCTCAACGACCGTCTGAGGTATCTTTGTTTGCATTGTTGTTAACATATCGTTCTCACTTTTCATTGCTGTAGGTGTGAGAAAGAAGTTCAACATATCAGCGCTCTGTAAAATAAAAGGAAAGAAAGAAGAAGAGTTAAATGAAGCATATATCCATATGTCGTTTTTTGTTCTCGTAGCAGATGGCACATCACACAGAGAAAAATGAGCTTCCGGGTACTTCCTTTCTTACTCTTACATTGTGTGATGAAAGGCTTTTCATCGTGAATAATAGAAGCATTAGACTTTGAACAAAGGGAAAAGAAATCAACTCACCCTATATTTGTAGTTAGCATTCAAGACATAAACTGTGTTCTGTTGGGAAATTATGCCACTTTCCATAATAAAAATTTCTGGAAAAGAGAGAAAATTATGAAAATATTAGATTTGAACTTGAAAACGAAGGGAAAGAGATTGAGAAATAAAATTTATATGTTAGCAGATAATTCGGATTTTATTTTATGGATTAAGTTATTGTTGAATAAATGAACATAAGTAGATGATTAAGCAGACATTTCTCATCTTTATTATTGTCACAATTGAAGGATTATAGAAAAAGCTCATTAAGAAGAAGAGAAGCAAACGTGGAGGGAAAGTTAAAAACTCTTAAGAAAAAGGTTTCATAAATTAGGTGAATATTTATGAGAAAGTTTAATTAACTTTGGTTCGTTATTCGCTTTTTTCCGCTAAAGCTCGTAAACTGGAAAAGCTCGCTTAAAAAAGTCACGTAGCTTATGAAAATTAGTTTATTTATTCACAATATCTTCAATATCTTCGGTTACATTATTTATTTATAAGAGCTTTCCATTTCTTATCGATTCAGTTCGTGACATCTCATCGAAATGTATGATATTTTAAATTTTAATTCAAATGATATTCCACGCTCTTATTCGAATACGTGCTTATGATACAAAAAAGATTTTCGACTTCATCTTTTGTCTTTATTTTCCTTCCTTGTCTTGGTTTATTTCTGTTTGATTATTAACTTAAAGTATTTTCGATTTCTTCTTACACTTTACACACATATCTACTTGTTAATAAAAAATTAAATTAACTTTAAACTTCTCGAAGAAATTTCTTTAATGCTTCATAAATAGACTTTCAAGGAACACCTCTCACGCATGTTAGAAGTAAATTTTCATTCTTGTCGACGACAAATTCCGACAAATGAGATTATCGTGGGATAAAAGGAGAAGCTTTGCCTGTTAAAAAACCTTTTAAGTCTTAAGCGCAAAAAACATGAGACGAGCAGAAAGCAACTTGAAGAAAAAGAAGAAAACGTAACATACATAAAAAAGGCTTTTCCTAGATTCCATTCTAGCAAGCGGGTTGCTTTTATTAAAGAGATTTATAACTCGTATGCCTTGTTAATGTAAAGGAACACAATTTTGTTCGCCTTGTCATCGCACTGGAGGAAAATTCTTTTTCCATTCGAATTCCCTTCCTTGTCTTGACAGTCAAAAGACGATTTTTCAGCTTCTTACAGCACAGCTAACAGTCTTTGGTTTCATGAATTTATATTCAGAAAATTCTGTGTTTACTTTGAGGAAGTGACGCTGATAGTTTATTAAAACAGTGTTAAACGAATCCGATAAGAAGCATTTGAAGAATTTCCGTTGAAACGACGGAAGCGACATTTTGATTGATATTTTCAAAATTGATTTTCCTACACAAATGACTCAATATTTTAGCTTCTATTATATCTCCCCGTTTTATGAAGTGGAACGAGCCAGTAAACTGAATAGCATAATGTTATGATAGAACAACAACATAATGCCAACCCAACCATAGTCGATGTTATTTGTTGTTCAACATCAGTTGAGACTGCTGTCGCCATTCGAAGTCATTTACATGAAGAGAGAAATGAGTCAATAATTCTTTAACTGATGTTCGTCAGCATATGAGCTTTCGCTTCTCCCTTTTTTCCTTGTTTTTACTCAATTCAATAAGTGCTGTAAATGACATTGATACCTCATTTGCTTCGACGCTTAAATGAAGGCCAACAAAAACTTCTTTTTTCACCATTTCAATTGATTGTTAGATTAGCATATAGACTTATTGCCAATCTTTAATCTTCCTTACACCCTTTTAAATGCAGAAGAGATTTTAGATGAAAGTAAAGCAATGTTGAATATAAAATAGATTTGAAAGTTTCCAAAAAAGAATTTGTATTCCTTTGAGAAGGTAAAACTTTTAATGCTCAGGTGGACAATTTACTTCTTCTTTGAATATTTCAAAAGATTTTCTATTTCTCAACTCAGTGATTATCCATACCTTGTTATGATGTTGTTTGGTGAAACGAGGGAGAAAACTTTTCCTTTCAAGCTTCTCAATTTTATTTTACTTCTTTTTTTTCTTCTCTTATGTTCCCGACACACAAACTTTCTCCAAGAATAACTTTTCACTCATATTCAGCTAATCTTATAAAGCTTTCAGGCTCCGATAAATTTAATAACATGTAACTTAATGACGATAACAAGTTAGAAGAATGAGAGGGTGAAAAATAATTAAATTATCAACCGAAGATGTTTGGAGCGAACAAAGTTTTAGGTTTTGAATTTCCAAACAGCACTAGAAAACTGAGTGGATGTTTGCATCAAACCTTTTTAGTCAAGCAGCTACTCAATATAAGGAAATACAAAAATACCTACTTGTAGTTGATAAGAGAAAATATTCTCAAGAGAAAACTTTAAGCTTCCCATCATTGGAATATTTTCTCAGAGAAACAAATTAAAATCGTCATGAAATGCAGTATGAAAGCTCAATCTCTGAAAACTTTAATCAAATTCTCTTTGATAAAATCATTTCACTCTCAGTTGGTGGAAAGAAGGAAACAAATCAAATTTTCAACGGTTTTATCAGTTTCAATATGAAAAGGCATTTTAAGAATGAAAAAAGAACTTGCAATCGTGATTAATGAGCGTTCCAAATGTAATAATTAATGAAATTTATTCAATTGAAAAACTTTTCTTTCTCGTATCTTTGTTGGATTATTTAGTTGCTGCCAAAGCAGATAATATCTGATTACTCAAAGGAATGAAACTGGTAAACTAGAAATGTTGGATGAAATTGTAATTAATTATATTCGCCAACTTTACCATACATTCCACAAACATGTGGGCTGTTTAAGGCATCTCGAGTCAAATACCTTCGGTGATAATTTTTGTCTAAAAAAACTCTAATTGGAATGTCTTTACCATCCATCTCACACAACAAATTTTCATGGTAGATGAAATTTCAATTAAACTTTAAATTATGCATGTGGCCGGCCGGCTATGAATCTCACAAGGGACAGGAAAGGACTCATTGGGCTTTCAATAATGAGATTTTAAATGTGTGATCATGTATCATAAAATGTATCACAATGTTCCTTTTGTGCTTATTGAGGTTTATTGAGGTCCTAATACACTCTCTTTAAGCAACCAACGTACATTTCACATAAAAGATATGACATTAAATTTTAACAAAGCACCAGAGCATATCCTATCTGTTGAAATTTTAATCGAGCCAGTCATTCCAAAACCCACAAGAGGAAAATCCCAAAATTTCTCTTTGCCACAAAACCATCCTTGTGTTCTTTTGTTGAGATCTGTGAGATCTGAAAACTTTTGAGTTATTGAATGTACACATTGGATTTGCTGATGTTATGTTGTTTTGAAATGATTCCAAATATGATTAATGATGCGTCACTAACAATACGAAGAGCATTTCTGTCCAACTTTTCCATCATCTATCTCCAAAAAAGTGTCAATGAACTTCATCGCTCGTTCTCCCAAAACTAAAACACCAAAAAAGAAACCAAACTCGGCCCCGAATATTATCGAGGAAAAATCTGCAAAACAAAATCGATTTCTGAATTGAAAATGTTCAGTTCAGTGAATAAATTTTTCACATCTTCTGATGTTCCGATTGACAATTGTTAAAATGTGAAAACGAACGCAAATTGCCATTGACAAGAGACTGCCAAAAGCGCTTTTAAAATAAAAAAAATGTGAGAGAGAGGAAAACGAATAAAAAGTCATGATTGCAATTTCCACAGCTAGAATTATCGTTTTTTTTTTTGTTCTTTATTTACTTCACAACATTTTCATTATCAGTATAATTTAGTTTTCGGGGGTTGCGGAATTAAACGTCAAATTAAATTCATTATGAATATCTCAATGGTTAATGATTCCTAACATCATAAATCTCGTGTCTTAAATTATTTTTAAGGCAGTGGGAACCATGTATGTAACTTCAGGATTTCATTAATCTCCATTGTCGCATCTAACGATTATCCAAAGCATCCGATGTATGAAATTAGTGATTAGTCCCATAACAAGCATTTTGAAACTCTGAAATCAAAAATTACGTAAAACATTTCATTCGTTTATCGAATATTTTCACCTGTTATTGTTACTCATTATCAGCATTGTCACATATTCCATTTCCGTAGGTGCAAAATCCATCACCATTACAATAATAAAGCGTCTCATCATTATCGACACGTGTGCAAAAATCTTCGGCATCGACGACAGCAGAAAAATTTGAAAAGGTATCAGAGTCATCATCGTCATCATCACAGTCAAAGTATCGGCTCTTTGTGTTCAAAAGAAAAATTCTTTTTATAAGAAACATTTCTACTTAAAATAAATGTAAGCACATTACCTGGCAATCCAAGCACCTACAATTCTCGGTAAACTCACAAGACATTCCAAGCATTTGAGCTGCCTCGCGATAAAGCTCCTTTGAACTCTTTTGATTCGTTTTCTTAAGCTTCTGGCTGCAAAGAGTAAATAAGAGTTTCTAATGAAGAGAGGTAGATAAAGAGTACAGTAAGCAAGTTGTACATTTATTTATATAATAAAGTGACTTCACTTCCAGCTTTGCTTTTATTTTCCTTCCTTCCCTTGTAACAATTGACAAAAATAAATATGAAGCATCTTGCACGTTCTCAAGTCACTGCTGAACTGAGTTAGAACAGCGAGGAAATTAATTGTCTTATCTGCAGCTTTAAAGCTTTTCATTACATATAATGCATAGTAAGTAAGTTTCTGTTAAGCAAGTTATGAAAAGAAGAAGCATACAAAATAAAATCTCTTAAGTCACGAGCTCAAAAAAGGGTGAGTTTGATGTCATTTTGTTGTAACATTTGACTTCGTTTTTTTTTCATTTTTATCCATGTCATTAAAGGAGGGGAAAAGAGCAAAGACAAAAGTTTATAAACGACAAAGATTAAGATGAGAGATGGAAGAACATTTTATTAAAAATCTTCATGCATCTTAATATGACATGAAAGACGCATTTGAAAATTCACAATTGAAAAATTGAGGATAAGTAATGAGGAGTCTTTTCTTGCTTCTACTTCATCACATTAGTCATCTAAATTGCGATCCCGAAATCAACTCCGACATTTCTACGATTGTATGTCACATTCACTTGAAGTCTTGTCAACGACTTCCCGCTTGTATGTTTAAAGAAAAAAATTGAAGGAATCAACATGAAATTCAGCAAAAAAAACTAAATGAGATTTTTTTTCTTCTGTCTTAGTCAGTTAAAAATGTTTCCCATTCCACTCTCCACTTTCGGGATGAAAAGAAATTCTCTCATGAGAAAAATGAAATAAAAAATTTCTGGACTATGGATGGGAATTTTTGTTCTTTCATCGCCATGAATAATGCACCATTGACCTAAATTTCTCGCCTCATAAATTGCTCGACTGTTTGGAATTCTCGTTCTTTTCATTCTTCCTTGCCTTTGCTTCTACATGGAATGTGAGGAGACTCAAGGAATCTTTCGTAGTAGGAACAAGTGATTTTAATCACTTGAAAAAAGAGTTTCCATCGGAAAATTATTCATTTGTGAAACTGTCTTGCATAGTTCGTTGCACAAAAAAAAGTTGTTTTAATTAAGTGTCTCTATTCATTTCACACAAACGATGCTCACCTTTTACTACTGTTTTCAGGTGATCCACTGCTACTTTCACTCTCTCCTGAACCAGGCTTGAAAAAGTTTTCATTGAAAAGCTTCAAAAAATGTGGTCGCTTCTTAATTAAGTTGTTGTTGACTTCTTTGAGTTTCTCATTAATTTGATTATCTAGCAGCATGTTTGTGGCTTTCGATTTTGATTTAAAGTTTGCAGTTGGAGTTGTAGCATTCCCAAATGTTGATGGACTTCGGCAGGCGTTTTGGTTGCCAAACAATCCAATCATGTCAAATTCCTGAAATGACATCAAAACATGTGATTACACAAAAATTTTCGTATAATTCTCTCTATTATAATTAATGAGTGCATGCCTCGTAATTTGAATATTTTCTGAATTCATTTCAGGAATGATAAATCTTTTATTCACATGTTTAATGCTGTTTACAATTGAATAATATATTTAAAGACAATACCACAACATAATGAAAAACTTTTAACACTTCTGACTGTATAATTTATGGAACATTAATGAATGAACATAAATTGCATACAAAACTCACCCCATAACTGGTATAGCTCGTGTTAAGCACATAAACAGTATTTTGATTGCAGTGCAATATCATTTCATCCATTTCTAAAACACAAGATCAAAAGAAAAGAGAAAATTTATCATTGTTATGTCGTAATTATTAAAGTATCCATTAGTGAGTATAAATTATTGAAAGATTGCATTAAATTTTCAGTCATCAAGCTTTTAATTATACTTTGAAAACTGTCATCTTCTAAAATCAAATAGAAGAGAAGACTTTCCTCAATTTCTAAATCGAAATAATCACCAAAGCTGAAATATTTGTCTTTGATCAACATGAAGAAATCATTTCAAAACCTACACATTTATTTGTTGAAATCATGTTTATGCAATTATCTTAGAGTGTTATTTACAATTTATTTTTGACGAGAAAGGAAACATTGAGAGCTGAAGGTAAATAGAAAAAGAAGTGCGATAAGTATCACTGAAGAATGTCATCCGCCTAATATAGAATTTCGAAAAAAGAATTATTTGATACATCAACCATTCAAGATCCTTGACAAAAACACCACAGTCGAGGTTTTTTGTTAAGAGTCGCTTGAATTCAATTTGATGATGTCTAGATTCTGTTACAACCATCGTGAAGCATGTGAATAGGAAATTTTATAAATAAAATAGAAAGCTGGGAAGATTTTCCTGTCTAGTGGAGAAATAAATAAAAAACAAGAGAAAATCTATTTGTTCAAAATGAAACTACAATTCAGAAAGCAGTGAAACAGAAAACAGGAAATTGAATGCAGATAATGCACTCGTTTGTACAAATGTATGCAAATATCGCATATACTTGATGCAAAATTACATTTGCTTAAATGCACTTGCATTGCATTGTGTTTATGCACTTTGCAAATATTTCGTTTACGTCTGAAAATTTCTTCTCTGTTTTGAGATTTCAAAAGCTTTCTAAAATATTTACTTTATAAAATCCTCATTAAACTCAAGATGTGATCAAATGCATGCATAATAAGCATAAAAAAGCTTTAAATTTGTGAATTTTTGAACATTTTAAAGTTTCGATTCGTTCGATGATTTTCATATTAGGAAAAGAATGAAAATTTGAAGACATCAATTTCATCCTTCCTAGCTTCGTTTTATGGAACGTGAGTATATCGTTGTCCTTTTTATCATTATATTCCCTCAAGCTACCCAATAATAAAATCCAAATGTCCCTCAATACCAGCAGATACATCAGGTGAATACTAATGAACAAATCGAAGGTGGAGATCGAGAGAGGTGAAATTTGAATTGTATGAAATGAACGGTGAAGAAACAAAACCAACGAGCAGGAAAAAGCCAGGAATAATAATTTCATAGTAACCTCATGTGAATGCGTAACATTCTTGTTATTTTTATTTTCTTGGGCTCAAGGGATTTTCAATTTCAAATCAACAATAATGTTTACCTACTTATATGTTCATAAACTGAAGCTTGGAATACTAACAAGAATAATTTCATGTTCATAAGTTTAGTTTCAAAATTTAATTCTATGCTTAAACAAGACATGAAATAAAGCTTTTGATAGAACGTTTTTGTTATTCATCATTATATTCATAATCACCTCGTAGGACGTTTAAAAGTTTATCTACTAAATTCAACTTGAATTGAAAATTTATTCTGATCATGTACACACAATGACGTTTGAAATATTAAAAGTTTTCCCTTCTCTTGCTGCAGTTCCGTATCATGCATAATTTAATCTTTTTTGTGGCTTACGATTCAAATAAATTTGACTGTCGGTGAATGACAAATCATGCTGAGAACATTGGAAACATTCAAGTGAAAAATATTTGAATTACATTTTTGATCTAAAAGTAGAAAATATATTAAATGAAATCACGAATCATTGAAGAAAAGCAATTTTTTTAACATTCCTGAGTTATCTTAAATTATTTTATTCACGCAAGTCAGACGAGAGATGAAATAATTATCAACTTCTGCTAAGACGACGCTAACAACCGGAACCTTGCCAAAAACTGTCACTCAAGGTTTGATCAATTGCAAAACTTATCAACTTTTATGTTATCAGTATCGCTTCAATTGACACTTGTCAACAGAAGAATACACGAAATATCTAATTGAGCTTTAAAAACTGATTAGAAGTGACTGATTTGAAAAGAAAGAAACATAAAACTGAATTTTTGTGGTCTGCAATATTATTTAATTATGTCTTACATGCTTTTTCTACAACTTTTGCCTATAATGCATGTTCAAATCAAAATTTTATCTTGTTCTGGCAAATTTTTGACAACGTATAAATGCAGTGAAAATTTCGGTTTCTTTCATTAACTAAGCAACCGTCATAAGAAGTTCAAAAATGAACTGTAAGTAAACTTTGAAGACCACTAATAACATTTCGTTGCAACGCTGATATTCTTCCAGGTTTCTTAGCTATTCTTGCCTGCTTAACAGCAGTTACATTAGCCAGCCCAGTTGACGATGTGATTATAGAATTCCTCGCCAATGGAGAAGCGATGTGCAGAACTAACTGCAATCGCCATCACAACCGTAACAATCCTATCAGTCCATGGAACGATTGTCCACCAACCAACTGCCCACCACCATTCCGTCCTCCAAACTGCGGTGCTCCAGACTGCTCAATAATTGCAAACAGAGTTCGTGGAGTTCATTTTGATCATCCCAGTGATCCAAATCGATTCATTGTCTGTGCACCACTTGATGCCGTTACATGGGCACCAAAGGAACGATGGTGTGGCTGTGGAACATTGTTCAGCTCCCTTTCAGACCCTACAAAATGTGTTCACCCATGGGATTGGACACAAGTATGTGGCACTCAACCAAATCCACCAACTTTAAGGTGAATACATTACAAGTTAATTTAGAAAAGATGTTTACATTTTAAAACGTATCTTCTGGGTGAATAGTACTGAAAATTGCGGTGAAGTAGATTGCCCAGATTGCGACAATGGAGGTAATACATTACCTCCAACAGCTGAAGAAACTCTTCCTACATCTCCTATTCCTACCACTACACCTCCACCTAATGGCAACTGCCCATGCCCATGCATACCATGTAAGATCATTTTTAATGATTATTAAATCAACACTAAAAATTGTTATTTTCATGATTAGGCGTCTGGTGGCCATGTCAACCATGCCCAAATAACTGCGCTTGCAACAATCAACAACAACCAGTCCAACAACCAAGACCACCAATGAGACCCAACAATCCATGGGAACAGCCAATTCAACAGCCAAGACCACCAATGAGACCAAACCATCCATGGGAACAGCAACCAGTTGACCCAGTATGGCCAAACCATCCATGGGATCAGACACCAAACAACCCATGGAATCAACAACCTTGGCACCAAATGGATGCCGAAGAAGAAAAGGAAGAATAATTCCCCAAACATCAGTGCCACTAAATGAATAATTCTGAATTAAACAATCTTATGTGATGACTATAAATATGATAATCTAAAAATTATGATGTAAACTTTCCATGATAGCATTGATCAAGCTTAACAATAACAAGCAATAAAATATTAATCGTAAGCAAGCAACAAAAAAAAAGACAAATTTTATTATTTCATGAATTAAAACCATTTCTAAGTTAAGGAGTAAATTTTTAGAGCTTTCATGATCATTTGAATAATTCTATGGCCAGTTTCATTGCATGAAAGTTTCATAATTCTTTGTTAATTCAACGCTTTTAAACATCATTGGACTTGAAGATTCACTTCCTAAAATCCTTACATTTTTATAGGCATTGATAATATATATTAAATTCAATTTAACTTTTGTTTTGAATGCTTCTTCATCTTGATNCACCAGCCAAGCCCACCAATGAGACCAAACCATCCATGGGAACAGCAACCAGTTGACCCAGTATGGCCAAATCATCCATGGGACCAGACACAAAACAACCCATGGAATCAACAACCATGGCACCGAATGGATGCCGAAGAAGAAAAGGAAGAATAAACATCGCCCGCAAACAACAGTGCCACTAAATGAATAATTCTGAATTAAACAATCTTACATATGTGATGACTATAAATATGATAATCTAAAGAATTATGATAATCTAAAAATTATGATGTAAACTTTCCATGATAGCATTGATCAAGCTTAACAATAACAAGCAATAAAATATTAATCGTAAGCAAGCAACAAAAAAAGACAAATTTTATTATTTCATAAAAAAGACAATTTTGCAGTTAAAGGAGTAAATTTTTAGAGCTTTCATGATCATTCGAATAATTCTATGGGCAGTTTCATTGATTGAAAGTTTCATAATTCTTTGTTAATTCAACGCTTTTAAATATAATCATTGAAACTAAAGATTTACTTCCTACAATCCTTATAGTTTTATAGGCATTGATAACTATTATTTAATTCAATTTAACATTTGTTTTGAATGCTTTTTCTTGATGAAATTAAATAAAATTTTTGTCAGATTTTATGTTTAGATATTTTAACTAAATTTGTTGTTATCATAACATCTGAATGGATGATTTTTA